GACTACAGGTAGGGTAGTGGTGTACAAGGTTTAGACTACAGGTAGGGTAGTGGTGTACAAGGTTTAGACTACAGGTAGGGTAGTGGTGTACAAGATTTAGACTACAGGTAGGGTAGTGGTGTACAAGGTTTAGACTACAGTTAGGGTAGTGGTGTACAAGGTTTAGACTACAGGTACACGGCCCCTTAATTACAGTTACTACCATTTGTTAAAATTTTGTATCCTGAACATTAATTTGTCTGCGAGTAAACTGAGATATTGAAACATGAAGTATTCATCAGTCATAAGAAAGCAAGATGCTGTGTACCAAATTCAGGTTTCGCAACGCCTTAATTACAGAGTTATTGCACTTTGTTAAAAAATTGTGTCCTATGAAGTCGTGTTCGTGGAGCATTCATCAGTTTCACTAATAGTCTTGTTTAGAATTTCAATACTCAGGTATTCTTATTCAGTCTTATTTTACGTGCAAATGAATATATATATATATATATCAGTTATGTTCCACAATAAGAATTCATTGAGGATATTTTAATTCTACCCCGCCGGACAGAAAAATCCACACTTCCGGTGAGAACAGAGAAATCTCTATCCTCGGAGGAGATTCCTGACAGTCTTACCAGAGGCTTTGCCGTGGGTGAGACAATCAAGAATCTCCTACCCGGGTAGATATTTCTCCGTTCAATCCTCCTGCTAGAGAGAGGTCCTATTATTCTCTGTGTTACCGTTTTATTCATTTCTGTGTTTCTAATTTGTCCGCACATCCTTGTTTCTTTGTTACACGGTAGTGTTCTGATTGTGCCCTTACTGAGGTTCCTTTCTTCCATGGTTTGGTTAATAGGTGCATCAAAGTGGTAACGCCTATTGTGTGATCTGCCGGATCCAGCCAGTATGAATAAACATGGTACTTTCCTGGTTAATCACATCGAGGTGATGAACAACAATATTATGTGCGGCGTTCTTATTGTCCAAATCTAACAGTTTTATAAACTGCTAATTTCTGAGTGATGATCGTTTTATTATAACGGTGAGTCGGCTTCACGTACTCTAAAGCTCTGATGACAAATGTCACTACCACGGACTTACTTGACCTACATAGTTACCATACCGTTATCATTTGAATAAGAAGGATGGTTTTGTATATCAGTTTTGGGCTTGCCCAGTTGGAATGATTTGTCTTCCTCGGTAATTGAATCTCTCAATAAACAAATGTTCTTTACTAATATCACTCACTAGAAATAACATACTCTGAAGAAAAGTCATAAATAATGTCTGTAATAGAGGCTTATACCCATACTTTAGACTCTAATTTTGTCCTAAGAACCATCCTCCCTAGCTTACCTTAGGAGTGTCCCAAAAACCGATGTGACGGACCAATCTTAGGAGTGTCCTAAGATTCATTCTGACTTACCAACCTTAGGAGTATCTCGGGAATCGTCCTGTCTGACTCATTCTAGAAGTGTCTCAGGAGCCGTCACGATCGCTGTGATCTAGGAGTGGCCTTAGAACAGTCCTGGATGACCTGTCTCACGACTGTCCTCTAGAAACCCCCTGATTGTTTAGAGGAGTGTCCTAGATCCGTCCTGTTCGATTTCCTGGAGGAGTGTCCTGATTATGACTGACCATATAAACAACCAACATGCCAGAGTAGATGCTGGTGATAATGATATATGTGCAATCTCCTTATTTATGGGTGTGGATGGCTAGTGAATAGAACCATATTAACGATTAATATCAGGGATGAGCAGCACGTGGTGGGAGGAAGTAATGTCGGTCACCGAGGCTTATTACATAAGTATATTTCGTACTTGCACGCTCTCCAATCTTACCAAAACAGGTCCTATTTTATTGTATATACTGCTTGTTTCGCAGGTGCTGCCAAATTAATTGAACTGAGTTTAATATTATTAACTGCAGCAGAATCAGAAAGCACATGACAATATGACATTAATCCGCCGACTGTCTGTTCGGCCTACAAAATCAATTGACAGCGGCTGATTTACAGATTTGACAGCGTTGTCGATAGTCCACAGCCAATTCAGAAGTAGACAACGATTTTTTCAATCTGTGTTTTTTTCCTTCAATTTCAAGTCGCTAAGTTGACTTATAATTTAAATCCGCGTGTGAAATGTTCTGATGATTTGTGATGTACTAAATGATAGCACTCCATTTGGAGGCTTACAGGATACCCAAGTATGATGTCGGCTTTCCACAGATTACGGAATAATTGACGTTTCATTATTCCATAAACCATTTGTCGGGAGAATTTAATACTGATATTTTTGTAATGTGACTTGTGTGGGAGGTCTCCACTCCGAAAGTTATCGTGTTCGCGCGAAATGAGGGGGCGGATCTACGAAATAAAATACTCCTAAAAGTGAATTAAGTCTCTTAAGAGTTTAATTGTCAAAAATATTTTGATGTTATCATGATATACAAAAACACAAATGTGTAAGGTATATTTTTGATTCCCGTTATCTGCCTGTCATAATAAATGGGTAATACTTCTGATTCACGGATCTACAGTAAAGGATGACTATTATGGCTAACAGGGTTGGTGATAGTTTGTCTTTATGAAGTGTTAGGCGCACTTGTAAAGCTCTCAGACAATCTTCTCGGACATATATAGCGAACACTAACTATATAGTTATGTGTGGTAATTCGAAGTGACCAAAACAATAACACAAAAATATCTACAAACCTGATATAAGACCATCCTTGACTAGCTAGGCTAATGGAACTTTTAACGCAGAATCGAGACTTTTTGATGGGTTGAAATATTTTGACCTAACAAAATAGCCTTTCAAGCAATCAACTTAAAGCAAAAACAAACTAAAAGTATGAAATAAACCCACCACACAATTACATTAATAGTTTGTAATGAATTTTGTAAAATATTAAACAACAAAGAAGTTAACTGTTTCAACACATTTGCATAAGCTACATTTAATGTGACGTCATATCTACAAAAACACGTATCGACCTACAGAATACAATGTTGTTGTCCATTGGAGCAATACGAAAACACAATATGCTTTTAATGACTTAACAAGTAGTCGCCATATTAAGATAAACATCGTGAGATGCGCGTGCAAAGCTTAGTTTTGTCAATGACGTCATTAGAAGATCTTTATCTAACGTTTTGTCATGTATATATTTATGGTAAGAGCGCATGATACGTCCTGATTCCGCGATCACCTGATTGTCATGATTATACTCCGTGTGGGCGTTCTCAGCGATAATCAGAATACCCTTGTCACATAGACAGATGTACGGAACAAAAGATGCTTCATATTAGAATCGCCAGCTAATGACGTTTTGTTTGTTGGCTTCGCCTGACAGATCACGTGATAGATCAATGATGGTCGTCCTGGGTACTAAAGCTCAATCCCGAACACTTGTTACATCACAATTGGTTTTGATATACCGCTTAAATAGTGGTGATGTTAGCACTGAAGGTATCGGTTGATATTACCGCGGGGAACGGTACATGTATTTACTGGAAATGTACTTGGTGAACTAAAGTAAAACTAAGTTATACATCAGGAATCGTAGGTAGTAGAGGAGATACATATCAGATGCAGTTAGTTATCCCATTGCGAGACTTAAACATAAATTGTTGTAAAGAACAAACACGTTTATACCGAGTGGATGAAAAAATCATCAGTTATATGAAGATATACGATCGTAATGTTTGATGACGTTACTGATGAAGATAAAGGTGGTCGTAATATTTGTTATCGTTTCTGATGAAGATAAAGGTGGTCGTAATGTTTGATGACGTTTCTGATGAAGATAAAGGTGGTCGTAATGTTTGATGACGTTACTGATGAAGATAAAGGTGGTCGTAATGTTTGATGACGTTACTGATGAAGATAAAGGTGGTCGTAATATTTGTTATCGTTTCTGATGAAGATAAAGGTGGTCGTAATATTTGTTATCGTTTCTGATGAAGATAAAGGTGGTCGTAATGTTTGATGACGTTACTGATGAAGATAAAGGTGGTCGTAATGTTTGATGACGTTACTGATGAAGATAAAGGTGGTCGTAATGTTTGATGACGTTACTGATGAAGATAAAGGTGGTCGTAATATTTGTTATCGTTTCTGATGAAGATAAAGGTGGTAGTAATATTTGTTATCGTTTCTGATGAAGATAAAGGTGGTCGTAATGTTTGATGACGTTACTGATGAAGATAAAGGTGGTCGTAATGTTTGATGACGTTACTGATGAAGATAAAGGTGGTCGTAATGTTTGATGACGTTACTGATGAAGATAAAGGTGGTCGTAATATTTGTTATCGTTTCTGATGAAGATAACGGTGGTCGTAATGTTTGATGACGTTACTGATGAAGATAAAGGTGGTCGTAATATTTGTTATCGTTTCTGATGAAGATAAAGGTGGTCGTAATGTTTGATGACGTTACTGATGAAGATAAAGGTGGTCGTAATATTTGTTATCGTTTCTGATGAAGATAAAGGTGGTCGTAATATTTGTTATCGTTTCTGTTGAAGATAAAGGTGGTCGTAATATTTGTTATCGTTACTGATGAAGATAAAGGTGGTCGTAATATTTGTTGAGATTACTTTTGAAGATATAGCTGATGGTACGGTATGTTAACGTTGCAGATGAAGAACTTTATCAGCATTTAGGAAATTGCATTGATAACCCTGTTGACTGTTGTCCTTGTTGATGAATATGTAGATGATGATGTTTGCTATTATCGTTTGTGATGAAGTTATATATATCAGTTGCCATTACTGGAGACGATACAATAGATGAGGATGCTGTCTGTTGTCGTTGGTGATGAAAATACAAATGACCGTGTTGTCCGTAGTCCTTAATGGTATTGATACAGTAGTGTGGCATTTTTCGTTCCTGATTGAAATATAATTGTTGTCGTATCTTCCCCTTTGCCGCTATTAGATATGAGTGATGAAGTGACCTCGTTTTTTTTTGTAGTGTTGTCATAACTGAAGTTTTCGCTTTTTGCTATTTGCAGTTCTTTTGACGTGTCGAGAGAGAACAGTCTTGTGTCTGAAGAAGAGGTTTCTAAACTTTGCGGAGATTTACGAAGATTGACGACGAACAACGAAAATGATAATGGCTATGTGAAAGTTTTAGCCTCGCCAAGAGTATCACCTGATATATTCCACTCAGTTCCCGGTGTAGTTGTCACGTCCGACTCTGACGAAACTTCCGGTAAGTCGACAACCGTACCTGCGCGCTTTCCTGCTTTCTCGTATGTTCTAAGTAGATTTGTTTGATCTGACTAAATTATGAGGCACGGCATGGATGAAGAATGCCTTGACGAAATGCACTGAACTATTAGCACGGTAATTCTCGTTGTCAATTCGGTGACACTGTAATCCGCGTACAAGTCACCCTCATTGTTACAGTGTAATTCAATGACGTTAGTTACTTAACTGTTAAAAGATGTTCCCACTTTCAATTTCTGGCTAATTAGCGTTAATGGCATGCTGTTCGTTCTTTATAGAATTTCTTGGTGCGTTGTGTTAGCGTATCTCCTTGACATACGGTATACAAGGTACAGATATCATTTCCGTAGTGTTGTCATGGTAACGGTCAAAGAAGAATTGACTTATTCCGGGTCAGGAAACTATTGAGGAACGAACCCAGTCACAGGCAAATGATAACACAGGTTCACTAGAACTACAAATTGGCTATGCCATCAAAGCGACTTGTGACTGTCCCTGTTCGTCAGGAACTAGCTATATAGTCAAATAAATATTAGACATCGGCGGGAGCGATGTAATTGTCCATTGTCACCATTTGCATAAATGATAAAGCTATTGACCACCTTTCAAAGCATAGGTATAGTTTATGCCGTAAATCGCTAGTATGGCAAATAAGTTAGTTTAGCATCATAGTTTCTGATTCTTATTTTATCATTCTTTAAAGTCACCATGGTAATGAAATGATTTGTTCGGGGCCAAGGTGTACAGAAGGTTACTCTGATAATGTCGGTGAAATGTCAGGTTGCATTCACATCACACGTATACCGATAAGAGGCACCAGTCTGGGATAATGGTTTAGCGATCAAGTAATTTGTCCCAACCCAGACCCCTCGCTTCAGAACCAATAATAAGGTTAACTTCTAACCTTTCTTGTCACACCTTAGTCCCGTCTTTATCATTTCTCCCTCATTCCAACATGGCTGTTTGTCCTAAGTTGACCGAGGAAGGTAAGTGACTTTTAGACATTGTCATATAAGGAAGCTAACGTCAGATTTGTATATGATAATATTGTCGTATGTTGTTTAAATACAAAATGTAAATATATAAGTTTCATAAACATCAATCAGCACTGCCTTATATTGTATAGGTGACAAAAAGCCCTTCGTATATTGTAAAGGTAACAGAAACAACACATTTTATGTTGTATAGAACACATAAACGACACTGCCTTATGCTTCATAGGTCACATAAACAACGCTTTCATATACTATCTATGTCACATAAACAACGCTTTCATATACTTTCTGTGTCACATAAACAATGTTTTTTTATACTTTCTGTGTCACATAAACAACGCTTTCTTATACTATCTGTGTCACATAAACAATGTTTTTTATACTATCTGTGTCACATAAACAATGTTTTTTATACTTTTTCTGTCACATAAACAACGCTTTCTCATACTTTCTCTGTCACATAAACAATGCTTTCTTATACTTTCTGTGTCACATAAACAACGCTTTCTCATACTTTCTGTGTCACATAAACAACGCTTTCTCATACTTTCTCTGTCACATAAACAATGTTTTTTATACTTTCTGTGTCACATAAACAACGCTTTCTTATACTATCTGTGTCACATAAACAACGCTTTCATATACTATATATGTTGCATAAACAACACTGTCTAATGTTGTATTTGTCATATAAACAACGCTTTCATATACTATCTATGTCATATCAACAACGCTTTCATATACTATAAATGTTGCATAAACAACACTGTCTAATGTTGTATTTGACATATAAACAACACTTTCATATACTATCTATGTCACATAAACAACGCTCTCTCATACTTTCTGTGTCACATAAACAACGCTCTCTCATACTTTCTGTGTCACATAAACAACGCTCTCTCATACTTTCTGTGTCACATAAACAACGCTCTCTCATACTATCTATGTCACATAAACAACGCTTTCATATACTATATATGTTGCATAAACAACACTGTCTAATGTTGTATTTGTCACATAAACAATGCTTTCTTATGCTGTTTTTGTCACATGAATTACACTGTCTTGTGCTGTATATGTCATTAAAAAACCATTGCCTTATGTTGCAAAGGTAAAATATATTTAATGTTGTATATATCACATACACATCGCTGTCTTACGGCGTATAGGTCACAAAACTAACACCGTCTTATGTTATATAGGTCACAAAACCAACACCGTCTTATGTTATATAGGTCACATAGACAACACCGTCTTATGTTGTATAGGTCACACAGACAACACCGTCTTATGTTGTATAGGTCACATAAACAACACCGTCTTATGTTGTATAGGTCACACAGACAACACCGTCTTATGTTGTATAGGTCACATAGACAACACCGTCTTATGTTGTATAGGTCACACAGACAACACCGTCTAATATTGTATAGGTCACATAGACAACACCGTCTTTTGTTGTATAGGTCACACAGACAGCACCGTCTTATGTTGTATAGGTCACACACACAACATCGTCTAATGTTGTATATTAACAAAACCAACACCGTCTTATGTTGTACAGGTCACATAAACAACACCATCTTATGTTGTATAGGTCACATAAACAACACCGTCTTTTGTTGTATAGGTCACATAGACAACACCTTCTTATGTTGTATAGGTCAAACAGACAACACCGTCTAATGTTGTATAGGTCACACAGACAACACCGTCTAATGTTGTATATGTAACAAAACCAACACCATCTAATGTTGTATAGGTCACAAAACCAACACCGTCTTATGTTGTATAGGTCACATAGACAACACCGTCTTATGTTGTATAGGTCACATAGACAACACCGTCTTATGTTGTATAGGTCACAACACCATCTTTTGACAATAGGTCACACAGACAACACCGTCTTATGTTATATAGGTCACAAAACCAACACCGTCTTTTGTTGTATATGTCACATAGACAACACCATCTTATGTTGTATAGGTCACATAAACAACACCGTCTTATGTTGTATAGGTCACATAGACAACACCATCTTATGTTGTATAGGTCACAAAACCAACACCGTCTTATGTTGTATAGGTCACAAAACCAACACCGTCTTATGTTGTATAGGTCACATAGAAAACACCGTCTTATGTTGTATAGGTCACATAACCAACACCGTCTTATCTTGTATAGGTCACATAACCAACACCGTCTTATGTTGTATAGGTCACACAGACAACACCATCTTATGTTATATAGGTCACACAGACAACACCGTCTTATGTTGTATAGGTCACAAAACCAACACCGTCTTATGTTGTATAGGTCACACAGACAACACCGTCTTATGTTGTATATGTCTCAGTGTAGATAAGAACGTGACAGTAGGTACTATTTGTAGGTATCGTACTTAGAGCGCACAACAAAAGTGAAACAAAATAAAATCATATATCAAGCCCGTGTATATGCTTCGATGAGTATAATGATGTGCATTATATAACTGTGTAATGACTGGCGGATATTGACTATAAAAGATCACTGATAGTCCCGTTGTGAGGGGGGATAACAGTTGGCTGTGGGCTGTGAATGTTTACGACTAAATCTCGTGACTCAATGTTCTCGCCATTTGTTCTCATTTAAACATTGCCTCCAGGGACATTGATTTTCGATTGATCTTGTTTCGGCATTCTCTTTCCAGATTCTCAGAACGGAAAAGTTTACCAATCTCACAAGGGGCAAAATTTCCTGTCAGTTCCAAAGAAGGTAGGAAGTTACGACGATGTTTTTCCATCAAAAGACCATCATTTACATGCATTTCCTTTCTATTGACGTATTGAGATTGAGGAGCGTTTTGATTGATGCGGAGTGTCGGGTTGATTGCAGGCAAACACCACTGTGTATTGGGAATGTTGTTGGCACTATCCCAGATGGAAATAGTCTTAATTGATACACCTTAGTGATAAATTTACACTGTATTTATTTATAAGAATAAATGTGTAATGTACAAATTTGAGTTTAACGCCCTACATGACTTATGGTATTTCTAAATGGGAAAAAAACGTATTCATGGTTGGAATTATTGACGCTTGCTGGTCCATTTGTTAAACTGTTGATCTCTACGTAAATACGTGTACCACTAGAAACTTAAAAAAACTACATCAAATTAAGGTTCATGTATAAGTGTAATGATATATCTTAAATCATGTAAAAAGATACTTCACAGGCCCTATGAACAATGTTCTTATATTGTCTTTGTTCGAGACCACTCACCGATACATAGCTTTGGTTCCCTTGACTTTATAATTAATCCAACTTAATTGATGACGCACTTGCCTAATTAACTAATTACGTAAATCAATTACTAAGCTCTGTAAGCCTATTGTCACAAACGGATAAAACTTATTAATTATTTTAACGAAACAATAAAGTTCAAACCATAAAATAAATACCAAAAAACAGTAAGTATACGCAGATATTATTGAGTTTATAAGCCTTGTGTGCGAAAAACGTAAATTTGTTTGTGAACAAATGACATTTTGAATGTCTTCCAAGTTCAGTCATTTCAAAATTATTTAGCACATAGACAACTTTATCTCTTACAATAACCCTACCCAAAGATCGAAACTTCACCATTTGTGTTGATTTTTGGCTTTGATGTATATCACCCCTATGACTTGTTGAACGATAGTGGACATAGGAGACCACCCTGTTACACTCCAAACCTTCATGTACACATGTGCATATCCTAATAAATAACAACCCCTAGCACGCATACAAGTAATGCGAACATGTCCTTGAATGACTATATCTGTCTATTATAATTAGGACGTTAAATACAATATATCATATGACCGATAGCTACTATATAAATTTTCCAGCAATACATATTGTATATACCCCAATATAATCAATTGTTCTTTCGACATTACTTTCTTCATTTACTACTAATACGAAGACTTTAAACACCTAATACAGTACCATGCTCACAATGACAGGTAGACGAGTAGGTGCGGGTTGTAAAGAAGTCTTTAGGAAAAAGATGAAAACCAAGAAATCTGCTAGAAAGACATCTCCAGCATAATTGGTTGATTGGTGTTTTAAAAGCAGATTGCACTAACTTTGCAGATTAGTATGTGTGATATGGCTAGGTGTTTCAAGAATTATCAGTAAAGAAAACCCCAACTGGAAGGTCAAACGTTGGTGTTGATGATACGTGGCGAAAAATCTCACTTATTGTTATTCATAGAGGATCTATTCTATGGCCAGTCTTCCAAAGCAAACTACACACAATGTATAAAGATTTTCAATCAAACCTCGACCATATTGCCGATGCGCGCAAAAAACGAACGCATATTTCATCATGAGCTGTGTTGCCCTTGGTCTTCGCGTATGTGTTCACGTCATCTCATCGAGAAAGTTCTTCACCCTAACGTTGAAATCGCACTGATGAAGAGAAAGATTTAAAAGACTTCCCAGTAATTTTCCAGATCGAAGGAAGTCATCAATTATCTTTTGGGGATATAATATATGCTATCAAAGCGGGAGACTTCTTTTACTCGGCGTTTCTCCTCTCTGGATGATGCAGTTTGTAAAGCCTTGACTGGTTGGACAGCAACACAGTTTCTGAAAATTCTCTCTGATATTTACTCTCCAAATTATGGAAACAGTGTACCACTCTTTTTAACATGTCAATTTCAAGAATATCGAAAACATTTCGTTCCATGATAAAATTATAAGAAATAGCCTTTGTTCCTTTGTTCCTTGGGCGTGATTATCTTACATGAGCAAATATTCTAGAACACAACACCGTGTTTTCTCAAAAGCAGCGGTCGACTATCATACTTGACGATACAAATATCTTTATTTAAAAAAATTTTTAGTCGCAAGCTCTAGAGAATCTCTTACTGTGGCCCGAAGAATCGGAACTAATTAAAGTTCATGAGCATAGCCCTGACTGATGGTTACATTCTGGACGTAGTTTGACCTTTTCCCGGAAGCAATAATGATGCGAAGATTACAAAAGTCATCATGGTTAGTCTCTCCTGGCTAAAGAAAGATGACAACGTGGTTGTTGATCGAGGGTTTAGGGATGTTTTGCCAGATTTAGAATCACGCGGTTTGGCAACAAATACACCGTCTTATCTAAAACTTGGACAGACTCAACATTAGGACCTACATGCTAACCTTGAAAGATCCATAACTTAATTCAGATGGGAAGTGGAGTCATATCACGGATGATTCAAACAATATATTTTTTTTTTAAACACAACTTGTCTCCAACAGCATGTCTCCGAGGACCCATATATGTTAGAACACAAGAGCGAGACGCAACGGATAGGACTCTGGCTGCCAAAATGAAAATGCACCTTAGTAGTCACAACAACTTAGCTCACCGTGTGAAAAATGAGACAGATCTTACCAGAAGGGACAAGTCGCTACATGTATTTGTCAAACTAGATGCTACTGCGAATGATTGACTTTCCAAACTTAGACATGAAATATCTTCGGACGATACCCTGTGTCACATACCAGATATCATTGGCTGCTGGCTACATAAGTGAGCATCCCAGTGATGATGGTGAATCTATCGGCACTCATGAGACATGGTACGATGTCAAATCCACTTGAGGCGTAAGAGCAGTATAAAATACATTGTTTGGACAGCATGACAGCTCCGACGCCATTAATCCCATAATGGATTATTATTGCCAGTATCTTACTGTACAAAGAACCATAGGGATATGTGCCCACGTAGACAGTATTCTGTACTCTGTAGAATAGTACATGCATTTGTAAACCAGTGGAAACCAGTAAGCCTTTGCATCCAAAAGTCAAAAGGTTTAAGACAAACCTCTAGTAATGTAGATTTCGTTACCAACAGTCATCTTAAAGGCATTAGGTATGGTCGACTTAGACAATTAGAACTACATGATTGTATCGTATTGAAAAATAGGAAATGATTTTGCAGCATTTTCCCTCAAAACTATACTATTTTTCCATTTCTGGTACAAAAGGAGCGCTATTTTCTTGCGTATGTACATGTTTGAACGTAAATACCTATTTGTAAACGTACGACTACAGAAGCTACCAATAGCCCCACCTTTCTTCTATATCTTTGTACACTCTATATTGAAAATAATTATATATATAGTGTGCAATAATAGGTCGTCACACAACCTCAGGTCATCACGTGTATTCAAAGTGTATCCAACTTTCAAACCCCGTCTTTCTCTCTACCCTATCCCTACCTTTTATTGCCACTTCCTAAGCATTGCTTTGTGTTGAGTTGTTATGACAACTATTTTAAGAGTCTAATTATCTGCCTGTCACAAAGTAACGATATCTAGATTGAGCTCGGAAAGATTTCAGTCTCATGAACTGATATGTAGATTAGAAGTTGTGGCAGGCATGTAATCAGGAAGAGCCAGACATTCACATATTTGTGTCTTTTTATAGATATATTATGAAATTATGTTCCTTCTGAACTCCTTTTATTGTTGTCTATATATATCATATCACGTAATTGGACAATTTTCCACAATGATCATTTCGAGAAAATCCAAGCTGTCTACCAGTACAACTTCCGAATTTAGGGATGTCGTGGTGGTGTAGTGGTTAGGCAGTCAGGATTTTTTTTGGCTATGCGATTTGGTGCCACAGATCTCGAGTTCGAGGCCCTTTCCAGGGTACCAGTCAAAAACATTCTTCCTTCATTAATCGTGTTACAGTGTAAAAAATATATATGTATTTATCATATTCTGCCTATTATCCAATGAATTCGTCCAGGTGCCATCTTTACGTATATATCACAAGTACAAGATTGCTTCACTATTGTTGTAAAAATATTAGATTTACATTTTGATTTGATATATGAAATGGAAGTGAATACACCATTTTGTTTATCGCATGTTCATGTAGGTACGCGAAGAACTCGTCGTCACAATTCATTTTACGTCATAGTTATGCATTGCGAATCTTTAACCAATTGCAGATCCAATATATTGTCTTGAGTTAATACACATTTTGAATAGGAAAGAGTGTAATGGGCGTTATTATACCGATAACAGCATAGTTATATGCGATGAAAGGCGTAACAATATCATCATAATCATTTTTCCTCAGATATGCTATTTTTCTTTACGATAATATTTTTGACAGATCAGTCGAAGGAGGAGCTCTTTAAGTTTGACCAGCGGTTCGGAGGAGAGTGACTGTGAACCTTCTCCCCCCTTGTCTCGGCGGGGACGACGGGCAGCCATCGTGGACACGAAGGTAAAAATAGGTCAAGTGTTTCTCTATCCTTTCAATGTACATTACTACCGTACAGCATGCTGTTTTCGTTTATTGGCAGGTTTCTCAAGTTATTTCAAATATAGTTTCTTTCCGTAACGTTTCTTATAATGTACAGGTACACAAACCGTTAGAATTTCACTTCAACAGCATAATGATACCTGTTCATATATGGTAGACCGAATGCCATGCACAAAAGGATCTAACAGATGAACTGTAGTCATGGTGATACCTGTACCTCTGTGGTAGACCGACTGCTATAACACGACAGGATCTGACAAATGTACAGTAGTCATGACAGGAGATGTACAGTTGTCATGGTGATAGCTGTACATCTGTGGTAGACCGACTGATGTAACAAAAGGATCTGACTGATGTACAGTAGTCATGACAGGAGATGTACAGTTGTCATGGTGATAGCTGTACCTCTGTGGTAGACCGACTGATGTAACACTACAGGATCTGACAGATGTACAGTAGTCATGACAGCAGATGTACAGTTGTCATGGTGATAGCTGTACCTCTGTGGTAGACGACTGTTGCAACATGACAGGATCTGACAGATGTACAGTAATCATGACAGGAGATGTGCAGTAGTCATGGCAGGAGATGTACAGTTGTCATGGTAATACCTGTAACTCTAGCAGCCTCCCACAGGAGTTTTGGCCATGTCGCCTTTAGTCCTATTGTCGTCACGTGTTTCGTTCATTGAAATTGTTATAGTTTAAGACAGAACCCGCTACGATGATATCACCGACAGCTATGAATTACCACTAAAGCTGTATATGGTAGTCTTATCACCAGATCGCGCCGACACTTTTTATGTTGACAACTAACCAGTAAGCCAAACGTTATATTCTCCGCATTCTCCGAGGAACTATTTTTCTTGTGTGCTGACACTGTGCTATACTTATTTAGCCCCCGGATGGAAAAATATCGCTAATTAGGCGACACTGGAATATAGGCCATACATTACATAATACAAACAGTGATAATTAGCTCAACCGACAACTGTAACTCGGTTTCACGCATATGCACCCATTTTCCACATTTGAAAAGGGCAGTGAGCGCATCTGAACCGGAAAACCTTTAAATATGTTAATTTCTAATATCTAAATATTGCCGACTGACTGAGTAATACACATTATTGTGATTCATCAAATTTATTTATTAATTTCTGATATTTCACCTGTAAATTGCAACAAAAAAAGAGTTTCGGGAAAAATAGATAGAAACAAATGCTATTTTTCTTTCAAACTTGAATAGTATTATCACGATTTGGTCTAACTACATACATATTTTTAATTCAGCAAGAAATTCACGAGCTATATCTATCGCTTGTTAACAAAACTATCAACTACTCTTCAATATATTTAACATGGCATCGTTCTAAATATATTTGTCATTAATTGTTCCGCCAAGCCATTAAAGCTGGGAATACGATGGCTACAGGAGTTTAAGTGGAGATATTTATCTATATTAGGTACACTGACGTCACTAGCGTTCCCTATTAACCCGAATGGCTGACCCCAGAACAACCACCTTTTATAAGTAATCGATATGATATCAGTGATAATCCACAAGTCTTATCCGGTGATTACATCTTAATTAAATGAACCACAAAAACTATTACAACAAATAGAAATGTATACGTCTTATTGATGTTTCTGCAAAGGCGGGTTCTTTTTAAAGCGTTCGTTAAGCTTGCAGATTTGCTGTTCTGTTTTCCCTGTCGATAGGTACTAAAGTCTTTGCTATTGAGTCTGTGTGACAAATGAATGCAATGTCATGTAGTTAAAAAATGTGTATGATGTACTCCAATTAGAATTTTTCTTTATATATTACGAAACTAGTATTGGATGGTGGAAAGTTCCTATGTAGATTTTACTCAATTGGGTTTGTCGTAATCAAAACGTTTTTGAAAAATGATATTGGTTGCAAAAACTTTGTATTTATCAATTATCAAAAAATCCCCTGTTTATTAAATCATAAGGTAGGTTAATACATGTAATACTCACATAGTGATAATTATTATTTTAAGGCATACCTAAACAGATATGCAATGTATGATTTTATGATCGTAATATCTTTAAATTGATTGTTCTTTTAATTCATTAGCATGTAAAAATACAAAAGTTGCAATTACTTCCTACTGTTTTTTACTATATATATATATATACTCATATTCTATGTGTTAAATAACCCCTACAATCACCCCTACATTCACATAGTTTGTTTGATACCTATGCCAAACAGCGTTCTTTTTTCAGGATTGGTCATATAATGTCGATTCATGATATTGGCGATGTTGTAGCTTCTCTTCTCCATAGCCCTGTCATTTCAAATAAGTATTTCTCTTGTGGCGATACATTCTATAATGGTTTTGCAGTAGATAAAACACCGCGGAGAAATGTAAGAATGCTGGGTTTTCTTAGTGTAACCGGCTCTTCACTGTCTTTTCATGCAATAACTTTTTTCATATTCAAAGGCACATAGGAGCGATTTCCCTACAATAAAGTTACCTGGTTATGCAATTTGTTGTTTTTTTGTGGCGTTTCTTGCTCACAATGCAGATTCCTTTTTGTCCTTACAGAACTTTGGAGATGTTTCACCAACTAATCTTTCACCAGAAGTGTCACCAAGTAACTCGTGTGATGAGGGTGAGGGCGCGAGGTGAGTCCACTCCTCGAGAATCTCCAGAGATGCTCTTTTGTTGTCAAAACGTGTTAACATATTAAGTTGGCAGTTACTCTTAATAACATTTGATTTAAATTGCGTTCTGTAGCCTTACAATGCTTTATTTTTGTTAAAATTACATGTATTTTTTTGTTTTGCATTGAAAAGATAACTAATTCTAACAATTCACATATCAAAATTCAGGAAATAGCCATCACGCAATAAAAAGTGTTTTTTTACTGTACAGTAATATAGCCCAGAGGTTACGGAGGCGTCGAAGTTCAGTAGAACTTGCTATGAGCATCTATCCGGGCGACCTCCTAGTTCAAGAACACCACAAGAAACTCCTCAAGCGGAACACAGTCGCTGACTTCCACGCTTTACGTCACGGTTCAAGTTCAACCTCAACAATAAATGACGGTATGTCGCAATATATGGTCACGTTTTATCGTAAACTAAATTTACCTTAAGTAAGTCTCGCGTATTTCTGCATAGGTCAAAAACGTGGTGATCGTACGATATTCGCTGCATTGTGCAGTGTATTGATGAATCAAATATATATCTGTGCATTAAACTTTTTTTTATTGCAGATACAAAGAAAGGACGACAGTCATTTTCTTTGCTAAAATTGGTGAGTATTTGTGATCTTTAATGACGGTAATCAGTGATAAGAATGTCTACTTAAAAGCCAGATCGTGGTTTCTCTTTGATAATTACAAAATACGAGAACTGCTATTAAATGTTTTTGTTGACGTCAGACTCTTCTAATTGTTAATATGATATTTCTGTTTCTACATGCTATGTGCGATATAAAGTTGAGTGTGCTTGGCGGTTCCATTGTTGAAGAGCACGATATAACTTACTTTGTTTACATGGCTGGTGTGGTCGATGAAGCAGAAAACGCTTACTCCTTCAGAGAACCTGGCCTTACTTTCCTTGTACTGTTTTGAAAGATGTTTTTATACAATTTTCTGTTGTTCATATTTTGCAATAAAAATTCTAATGACATATCGGCATGTTATTGTTTCTCTATCAGACGATTATATATGTATTACTTCACCAGTTACGAGTTCATTTTCATTTTCAATGCTATGTAGTCATAGACTTGACATATGTCGACTGCTAGCTGAGAAAGTTGCTGCACAAATGTTCTTGATATTAAGGTTGATGAAGACTGCATTTTATGGTAGCTGTCAGAGTCTCATTAGAGAATAGTCTTTCTTCCTCTGAGGTGTGTATATTGACAATTTTAAGACATCAGTATATTTTTGGAAGACAAATGTTGGCATATGAGATATTCCTGGAAGTATCAGGTATGACTCTTCTACGTTTCGAAGGTTACCTGAACCAATGTCTTTTGTTCACAGTCCGCTGTTGTTCTTTGTTTTTGAGTCATTATGTTTTTATCGCGCTTTTATTTACGAGGCTGAAATGCGGAAAACACGGCGCATCTTAGGTTCTTTATTAGTAACATATGTATGGCTTCAAGACCGGCGCATTTTTCATATATGATTTTTGAGGCATATGTCCTAAAATTGTTTCTAGACATTATAGCCATTTTAAAAACAAATATTCTACAAAGCAATATTTTTGTTTTAAACAAAGAAACGTTTTTGATAAATCTGAAGTCTTAATTTTTTTTAATTTGTTCATTTCTGCAATTGATATGTAATTTTCCTTTCATCATTAAGCATAGTTATTTGCATTGTAGACTGGTACGTTTTCAAGATGCATTCCTCACGAAAAATCCTTGACTTATTATTAGACTGGTTTATTGTCAAGAATGAATTGTTTTGAAGATATATTAACATAAACTAAGACATGGACAGTCGTCTTTTTTTTCTAAAAACAGGCGTGTATTGAGTCTGATAAAATGACTATGTTTTCAACAACAGATGAAATCCAGGAGCAAGGAAGCCTTGTCCAAACTAGAGGACGTTCTGGCCGGGATGAAACCTTCGGAGTTTAAGGATAATTACTTGGCAGTGTATAAGGTTTGTGGCTTCGTTGCCCTATGTTTCTTAACTTACGTATCCATGTTGTAGATACATTATTCCCCAGGCCATACACGGAGTTGTAATTGGGCATTGACACATTTGTCAGTCATGTAATTACACATTACTTATTTGTAGCTTATCATTTGCAGATAGTGAGCACTTCAAATCGCCCTTCGTCCAAGGTCCGTCGTCCGTCCAACAGTCCTTAAACAATTATTGTTGTAGCATTTCCTTTAGAAGCACTGGATGGATAATTTTCAAGATTATGTGTAGTGCATTTTTCCATTTTGGGTACTGATCCGAAAAAAATGGCCGATAGGCAGTGATCTTGGATTTGAAAGTAAAACGTTCCCTGGGTTCTTAATAGTGTCCTTTTGATTTTTGGATGGATCAGACAAACGAAATGGCAAATAGGTGAATGTCTTGGATTTGACATTTTAAGATCATTATTGCTAAATTAGAGCAAATAAAGGCAAACAATGGTGGCGTCAATATCCTTCTGAGAGATCTTGTTAGTGAACAAACTCATGCAGGTTTAAGGCAAAGTGTACTTTACAAGTATCATTTTATGTTACAAAGTATCCTGGTTTATTTTTTTAGAATAACTCGAAATGTTGTATTGCAATTTAAAATGGCATTTTGCTTGTCATGGTACGCCGTATGTCTGCCTTTTCTCTTCTAAGCAAAAGAAAATGTTTGTTATTCCTAAACATATATATAGTAGTTCAACCACTGCGCTGTTTGTATTTCACGTTACACATTGATTAAATGATTACAAATCATTCATGGTTGAACATTCGAATAGAAACATATTGATTGATACCAATAAACATACATATCTATACGTCAAATATATCAACAATTAAATGTAAACCTTTTAATGATGAACGATTACAAACTCATACATGTTACATATCTATATGTCAAATATATCAACAATTAAATGTAAACCTTTTAATGATGAACGATTACAAACTCATACATGTTACATACATTTACAATACATAGTGTATTCGCTGTGCTTTAGTATTACATGTTTACAGGACATTGTGTGTTCGTTGTCTTTCAGTATTACTTATTTACGATACATGTCGTGTTCCTTGTCTTTCAGTAATACATATTAACATGACATGAATTATTCGTTGTCTGTCAGTAATACATATTAGCAATACATGGTGTGTTTGCTGTACGTCCGTGTTATGTATTTACAACACATGGTGTGTTCGTTGTCTTTCAGTATTACATATTTGCAATACATGGTGTTATCTTAGTCTTTCAATAATGCACATTTACAACACTTTGAGTATTCGTTGTCGTTCAGTTATACACATTTACAATACATGGTATGCTTGGTGTCTTTCAGTAATACATATTTACATTACATGATTTGTTGTTTGTCCGTCAGTAATATATACTTCAATACATGGTGTGTTCGTTGTCCTAGTGTGATACGGATTTACAATACATGGTTTTTGTTTCTCATCTCTAAAAAATAATCTTGTCTATGGTTTGTTCGATGTTTATAGGTTGTAGGTTAATAATAATCGTTCTATTTCAGAGCCTACATTGGTCGGACCTGATAGCTAGCTCGGACAAACAGACAGAACAGATGTGCCTGTCCGAAACGGAGCGGAAGCGACGTGAAGCGGTTTGGGAACTGTTTAAAAGTGAATGTGTATTCCTTATCGATCATTTGATGGTGCTAAAACACGTAGGTATTTTTGAAAATCACACCATTATGTAAATGTACATAATACTTGATATGTACAGTCAAAGCTGTCTTAAAGATCACCTGTCTACAAAGGCCACCTGCTGCAAGAGCCGCTTTTTTTATTCCCTATGTAAGACAAATAATTGTGCATGAACCTTTATATAAAGAACACCTGTGTATAAAGGTTACGTTTCTCTGCTGCCTTGAGTGACCTCTAAAGACAGGTTTGACTGTATATGATGATATTGATACCTTAAAACGATATGTGTATTTTACAACATTACACAGAATCAGTAAAATATTAATGTTTGTTACAATATATCTCCTCAATGTTGAAAAGGTCTGTTTGTTTGTGGACATGTTTGATATGTGTTAGTATAACTGGTAACTGCTGTCATGTAGGAACGTGGCGCTACTTACTTGATTGACAAAGATTAACATTGCATGGCGGGTGTAGAGCAGAAAACGCTTACCAGTCCGGAACACCTGGTCTTGTACTCTTTCAAATAGACAATATCTCCTCTGTTCATATTATCCTCAAATTTCATTGATTTTCCGAGTTACCATTTAAACAATGCAACCATTATCACAATTGAGGTAGATATTTCATTTATCGTGGATGTAAATGACATATGGGAAAATAATGGTCAAATTGACAGATACCACAGAAACGTTTCATCTATAAGTATGAACATCAATCTATACATATCACCACGAACGTTAGTTACTGTGGATTCATTTTCTTTCGTGGGGGTCCAATTTTCGTTGTTTTCGTGGATGAGCAAATCCACGAATTTAAAAACACAACGAAATATGAACTACTTACTAAAGTAATTTTGGAATTTGACCAAGTAATCTTTGCCGACACCGGAAACGTCCACCGGTAATGACAGAAGCCCCGTAATTAGTCGGGAGTCGGGTAGCCCAGGAACGTCAGGCTTTCGCAGATTCAATTTCCCGGATTTTAACCACTGTGTTAACGACATGATGGATAAGATACATAATGATATGTTCATCACTGTGATTTCTTTATACTATCGTCAGTGAGTTGTGTTTTTACTTCATAATTGTTTCTGCAGATCTTGTTTACACACCTGTTTACACACATGGTCCAATCGATACGCGTGGTGTTTTCATATGACTGCGGTACACCGACTGATCAGCACACAATGTTTATCCACTGAAAACAATTGTTTCTGATAATTACCGATTGATTACACGCCTGGATATATACTGATTTGTGGTTTGATATTAATGCGAGACACAGGACGCCATCTTGGAAAAAAAACGTTCTTTTATTCTTGTCATCAGTGTTAATTCCTGTGAACATAGCCTTAATACAAACAGAAAAAATTTCGACTGGAAGCAAAAAGAGAAAATTCTAAAGTTTTTATTTTTTTCCCACAGAATCAAAAATCCACGAATTTATGAGTCCACGAAACTGTCTAATTTGTAGAAACAACGAAAATTGAACCCAACGAAAATAAATGAATCCACAGTATATGACGAAATGATACCGAGATATTGCAGCGAAAAATTAGTGTAATAAAAAGCCTAAGAACCTTTTTAATGAATACAAATGACTATAAAACAAATAAATACAAATTAGAATATTGTATATTCTATACAGACTCATATTTTGATAAGGAGTCAAAAGACACATAAGTATGGATACCGATGATCACAGTGTTTCACTAATGGTTTAACGCTAGTGAATATGGAAGAGAATCAGTCGACTGTTATGCGATACATACAAATTGCACGCAGGATGTAGTCACCAAAATGCCCACTAGCCGTCCTCGCCGGACCTCGTGATAACATATGTGATGGTGAACTATCAAATAACTACTCACGCTGGTAACATATAATTGCTAGAACCAATCATTATAGTAATTCTGATGATAGAAGGAATCACACGCTTTGCCATAAAAGGACAAGTTTAACACGTAGCAAGACAGCAATGGTTCGTGCTCGTTAATACCCAGATCGGAAAACCAATTATCTTCCTAATCTCTCTGCTTGGGTGTCTGACAATCTAACTAAAGAACATGGTATGTAGTTAGCCAGGTAATTATGTGCTTGACCCTAACATTAGCAAATCTTCCACGTGTACAGCTGATCATTGAATATTAACACTGGGCTACTTGTTAGTGTCATTCTAATCAATGGTACATTATAAGCATTGTCTCGTGTGCACTTACTGTATTCTCTAGTATTGACACCAGCATCAGAATAATTGCTAGAAGTAGGACTAGTGGAACTATTATTTTATAATTCACGGAGTCAATGCAGACATGTTTATTCTTCCATTCAAATTGAACAATAATTTGCCAAATTAAAATAAGTGTTTACTGTACCATTTCGTAAAAATTCTGTTCGCATCTAAATAAAAAAAGAAATATATAGAGGACGAAATCATAAAAACGATCGAGTTTCTGGCTGACAACATCATCGAGTTTGGTAAGATATTCCAACAGGCTATTTGCATACCTATGGGAACCGACGGCGCCCCTCTGTTTTGATACGAGGCTGAATTTATTGAAGAGTTTATCAAAACAGGTCAAAAAGACATTGCAAAGCCGTTTAATTTTAACATCAGATATATCGATGACGTCTTGTCTTTAAATAACAATAAATTTATTGACTGCGTCCATCGTATACATCCACCATAACTGACAGACTCTTCTGTATCAGCAGCGTATCTCGATCTTTTTCCTACAACGAAATCAGCATGGACAGCTTTTCATCATGCTGTATAATGAAAGTGATTATTTCAATTTCCATATTGTAAATTTGCCAGAACTGGATAGCAGTATCCCTGCATCTCCAACCTATGGTATTTACATGTTGCAGTTGATTCGATATTCAAGGGGCGGTTCCGATTATCACAATTTTCGTGCAAGAATTTCAGGTTGATAGAAATTATGGGGAAGTTTTATGGTCGCAATGGTGATCTCATTGAGAAATATTCTATTTCTTTTTATGGCATGAAGCTAGATGACTTTGATGCTCGTTAGTATGCCTGTCGGGTCCATTGTTCTATAACTTGATCTCATTTGAGAACTTGCCATTAATTGCTTCGATTGACCAAGATTTACGTGGGGGGTGAAGTAGAAAACGCTTACTCTTCCGGAACACTTATTCAGGAGTCTCCGTGTAAATCTTTCTTTGCCCTAGTTTTATGGAATTAAAGTTCGATTTAGGATTGTGTTGCCATGTTGGTATTTTCTCGATAGTTTTACACTGATATGAACGTTTACAGAGCTATACAATCTTTACATTTTACTAATTTTGTATTAAATGATGAAATATTTCTTTATTCGAACGTCTGCGTTACTCCAATATCCCGATACGCTGCATACTACAGGATATTAGTAAAACCTGATTATTACAGGAAAAATACGATTTTTCAAGTAGTACTTTTCATATTATTGTCATGTTGACGTCTGTTTTCCGTAGTTTATTTAAGATTTTTTCTTTTTTCTTTTATATATATGTTTTTTGTTTGTTTTGTATCTTTGTTTTTGTTTGGTCTTTGTGATATTTTTGTAATTGTTTAGGTATAAAATGTTCTTATTGTTTACAGTGTTTTATGGAGCCTCTAAAGAAAGTGCAGGTAGAGGGTCACCTGATGTACGCAGAACCTCAGGATCTGTTCGGCAATCTCGATGAAATCTGTTATGTACGTATTCAGCACAGATTAATGTACACTGTACTGTAACTCTTGGTATTGCTTACGATGGGTAGCTGAAAACAAAATATAATTTTCTTTAATCTGTTCATATAAGATTAAATGACTGAAATAATTGATTTCTGTCTCGATATTTAGAAATGAGGAAATCATTTTTGCTGGGATGGAGGAGTTTGCATAAGGAACACTGATATTTGATGTGATTCTTCTTTCATTCAATGAATATTCACCGTGTTGATAAAGACAGTTTGCCAGTTAGTAGTGCGAAAGACATTGATTTTAAATGTGAAATTTCTTATCTATCGTGATATTTACATTCAGGAATACCATCAGCTGTGAATCAGAATATGTATTTACATTTTTATGTTTTCTCGTGTATCTGACTATATGTTCTTTTTGTCCCAGGTTAGCTACACATTTTGTAAAGACTTCATTGCGGCTCTGTTAAAGGGAATGAGTTCCACTGAGTTTGGGAGTACTCGGGTTCTACTCAAAGCTTTTGAAAGGGTACATATCATAGTTCAGTAATCGAAGCAAAATACCAGTATTAGCGTTCTAATTTTTCATAAATATCAATATATACCTGGAAATGCTAAATGTTTACTGTAGCAAGAGAATCTGTATTAAATTACGTGTAACGATGTCTTAACTAACTTTTTTGTAATTTCATTTGTTTCAAGGCATTGCACTACTTTTGTTTCAATATTGCATCGTTTTTTTTGTTTATTGTAACACCAAGGAATATTCGCTGTAACACCAAGATGTGTTCATTGTAACGCCAAGGTGTGTTTGCTGTAACACCACGATTTGTTGAAACATCCAAATTAGTTATTGCCTAAGTTAAGTAAATTCATTGTCTTAATGCTAAATTTAAATTCATTGTGTTGAACTTTTCCAGAGATCATTATACATTCCGAAGCGTGGTATATATCTTACTAGTACTGAACTTCCAAACAAATGTTGACACATTCCGAAGTGCGGTAGTATTTTACTAGACCTGTACTTGTTTACAAAACTAAGAATTCCAAAGGTGGTTTGTATGATACTATCTGTGTTCTTTTTTTTCTACAGTTCTCAACGCATTCCAAGGGTGGAGATATATATCATACCTACTGCCTCAATTACACGAACGCCCTTACCTACCTTGAAAAATTGCGCCGCCATGATGATTTCACGGAGTTTGAAAGGGTAAATACATGACTCGTTGGAAGCAGTTCTTTCATTTAGCAGCTCTTTCATAATTTTTGTTGGTTAGATGATGTTAATTCTCATTAGAAATAAACTTGGACCGGGTGCATTTATATCAGTTTATGTATTTATTGAGGAACAGAATATACCATTTTAGTGAAGACGTTGTTTCAAACAAACGTTTTGTAGACGTACAATGTAGCAGGAGAATGCTTGAGTGTAAAATGGACGTTTTAATTTCACAGTGGTGTGAACAGGATCCTCGATGTAAGCGTCTTCAGCTGACCGATTTGTTGGTAGCTCCAATGCAGCACTGTACAAAACTTCCACTTCTGCTGGGAAATATCCGGAAATACACGGAATGTGATGAAGAGATATGTCAACTGACGGACTCTATAGAGAGAGTGGAAATGTCGCTACGTACGTATGTTTGATAAAATATTGATAGAGTGAAAATGTCTTTACGTACGTATGTTTGATAAAATATTGATAGAGTGAAAATGTCGCTACGTACGTATGTTTGATAAAATATTGATAGAGTGAAAATGTCGCTACGTACGTATGTTTGATAAAATATTGATAGAGTGAAAATGTCGCTACGAACGTATGTTTGATAAAATATTGATAGAGTGAAAATGTCGCTACGAACGTATGTTTGATAAAATATTGATAGAGTGAAAATATCGCTACGAACGTATGTTTGGTATAGGAATGATAGAGGGAAAATGTGACTACGTACGTATGGAATCGTGTTTAAGCACAGCATTTACCTTTTACATGGGACTGAAACAGAAAAAATTACTGCGTTTGTTCTTCATCTGTGATAGAGGATACACAATTTATATTCAATGGTAAGATGAAAGGGTGGAAATGTCTTGCGTTATTCTTCATCAGTGATAAAGGGTTAAGTGGGTGGAAATGACGCTACGTACATTCTTCTTTATCTGTGATAGAAGATTATCAGTACTAGATTTTAAAATGTGGACCGATATCAAGGAACAGCGGTGTGCTACCCAGTATACCTTGTTTACGTATTGACATAGTCCTGTTATATAACGATGACATTATTATGGGGCGATTCATGGTACACACACAACGATTTAATATTGCTAAATTAACCTCGTCAGTGGTTGAAGTAACGTCATCCCTGTCATATTGGTATTCCAGCACAAGTAAGAGAGCATTACATTGAATATCGCTACACACATAGTTTACTGCCGTGTGATTTTACTGTTTTTCTGCTGACGTGTTACAGAGAATATGGAGGAAAAGATTAAATGGGTTAAGAACTATGAGCGGGTACAGGAGGTTCAACGGCAACTCGTCTGGCCACCCGTCACAGAGCTGGAGCCAAGAGTGTTCATTCCAGAGGTAAATGCTTCCAGTATTATATTGTATTATATTTAGGTCACCTGGTGACCTATTGCGATCACTTTTGTTCGGCGTCGGGCGTCCTTAAACAATTTAACATTTATGACTTCAGAACAGATTTCAATGAAAGTTTACAGTAACCTTCCCTAGCCTAAGATGAGTAAAATTAGTGAAGTATACGGTCCCCACACCAAAGGGGCTTAAAGGGCGTGGCTAAAAGGGTCATCTTTGGTCAAATTTCAAAAACATTTTTTCAATACTCAGGTATGGTGGAATCAAATGATCTTCATGGATAGAAGCATCTTGAGACGCTTTACCAAAATTGAGAATTTCATGGCCCCAGGGTCTCACAATTCCGTTATTGGGAGGGGATAATGGTTGCTATAGTTTATAAAGGAAAAACAGATTTATGTGCATAATTTGTTATATCTTCGTTGGAAATATTTCAAAGTTAGTTAGAATTGTGAGCGAAGGATGACGGCTTGATGGTATGTCTATATTGATCCTCTGTAACACCAAGGTGCTACTGGGCGGGGATAAAAGGGGTCAAATTGATTAAGATTTGAAATATTCTCCTCAACACCCAGATAGGGTAGAATCAAATGTCATGTCCTTAATGGATGGAAGTGTCTTAAAGTAATTATTTCCAAAACAGGTCTCACATTTCTTACTGGGGAGGAGGTTCATCTTACTGTACTGTTTATAGAAAAAATATTTTTGAACATAACTTATTTATTTCCCACTGGAAATAACTTTGTAAGATTTATTAGTATAGGATGACAGTTTTGATGGTATGCATGTACACTGGCTTACTTTCATCGATGTCACAGTTTCTTTTTCATGGCTATTGAAAGCTTTTTACCCTTTAACCTTTATATTCAATATTGCTTATCTTAAATGACCCTCAACACCGCTAGGCCTCTTGTTAACTATTGAATGAAAGCTTGCTAAGAATGGTGCGCACAGAGATAGATGCTATCAATTTTAACAAAACTGTGTCTTCTTGTCCCGTTACAGTACTTAAAGAACACACTCCTTAAGCAGCCTTGTGAACGACTTCTGGCATGTCCCCAGCGACAGTTACTACACGAAGGACAGCTCACTCTTGTTGGTAGGTGACTGTAGATTTGTTGTACTCTACAAGTCTTCTTACCTGGATGCTCACGACTAATATTATTTTGTGGCGACTGTGTGATCCAAACGAATTAATTAAGCCTCGTAACGTAGAAAAATGGAAAGAGAATGTTTTAGAGTATTTGATGTCGTTGATGAAGTGTGGACGTTTACCCTTACTGAACATGTGGTCTTATCCTGATAGTATTTTCCATGTCTCTCCTTGTAAATATGCAAATGTTTTGTTCCTTTTTTGTCATTATTAGAGTTTCAGTTAATATTCAGTTGTTTTTTGTTGTTTGGTTTTATATCACAATGATGTATATATTACTTAACCATTCATGGATCAGTGCAACGCAAGCTTCTCGTAGTAAATGGTATTTGAGAGCGTTTGTGTAGTATTCTTTGAATGAAAAAAGGATAACTACCGTGTGTAACAGAACTTTAGAAGGTGATGGCACGAGATGCTAATTAAACTGTGTGCGTAGCATTGTTTTTAGAACGCTATCGCATATAAAACATTTCATGTTTAATAAACTAGTTAATACAGAGATAAAGTTTGCAATGTTTTTCAGATGTCGATCGATTAGTTTAAATTTCATACTATATGAAGCAAACATACTGTGTGTAACAGTATTTTACTGTACCACGCGTCCGCATTACTGATAAATGTACACAGTTTACTGGATTTGATAACGTTTACACGAAATATATTTTCATGTACAGAGTAAGACCTACTGATGTAAAGCGTACAGAGAACAATATAAAGCTAGACACTGAAAGTTTCACTAGTTTGAGCAAATTCTAGGAACTTAGGATGGATTTGACTTGATGTAACTGTCTACACGTGTCTTTCTCGGAATTAAAGTTGACGTGATGTATAGTGGAGCCACAGTCACAAGTATTGATTATCTCTCCAGTCGACGACTTCAAAACATGTGGTGGCCATTAACCTTAATTTGGCTATCCCAGTGTCTCCTCCTGCTATTGTCACCTATCGTCTGACAGCAGGATGGAAACTTTCAAACCATCAGTAATATGCTTTTGGTTTTTTGACTTAAACAACTCTTAATACGTCCAAATAGTTCAATGTTCCGAATATCCACTTTAACTTCAATTGCTGTTGAGATAATCCAATATTGAAATATGAAATTTGGTGAATTATAAAGTTACTTCAATTGCAAGAATACATTACACACGTCTTTATATCGATAAATATTCCAACTTCCTCAGTTGCCTTCTATATTTTCAACTTTGGAGGAACTGAAGTACGATAAACAATATGATAAGTTTGATAAATTGTGTTTAGTTTTTACTCTATAGTAAAAGTTGCTGTTAATTCGTGCGTCTGTTAAACTGCCTTTTGTAGAATCAGATTTTAATGATAGGTCAATTTCTTTATGTGATTGAATTCAAAGGATAAATAGTAATTGGTAAAGGAATCGGAACTCGGTAAACGGGTTTGCGCGATGTTGAACTTATTCTTCAGAGGATACATAGAATCAGCCTAAAGGATATCCATTTTTTTCTGAAGAGTATGTAGAGCGTTGACCAAAATTAATCTTTTAATGAAACCATGAATATTCCCAATCAGTTTGTATAATATTGATTCAGATATATAGGAATAATGGTATTAAATGTTGCTACAAATCTGTCGAAGTGAACGATATATAACTCGCCTCAAATTTCATTTCTATCAATGCTACAAAATAAATTGACGTATATTTTATTTAACAATGATCCTAATTCCGTTACAGAATCTACAAAAACCACTGAGGTATATCTGTTTCTCTTCGACGATATTCTACTGATAACAAGAGTCAAGAAATCAGCGAGAAAGGTACTTGAACTTAAGCTAAATTGAGTTATTTCCCATTGTTGGTAACATCTGAACGTGGATACGTATATGTACGGATTAACTCCCTTCATTAACCGAATGGTTTGGAAAACAATGGCTGAAGATATATGTCCTTTAAAATTATCGATGAAATTTTTTAATAGAATTACGTATTTCATCCCCTATACTGTCTTGCAGATCCTTGTATTACACACACACACACATGTATATATTGTGTTTAACAGAAACAGTCCCAGCTAGAGGTTACTGGAACACAAACCTCTTGTGATAAAGTTACGTACACGGTTCATAAGCAACCGGTGGCATTGGACAGACTCAGTGTACATGACATTAGCCAATCGGAAGCTGCAGGTACTGACCAATCAACGCAATCAGCGGATTTTATCAAGCAATCGTTCACGTATAATGTTTATAATTTGACCTTTTATTTCATGCAAATGCTTGTTAAATGATCACTGACATTTATAATGTCAAGTGCAGTTCCATCAAAAGTCCCAGTCCAATCAAAATATCGGAGACATTTGTAACGTCCATTTTTTGTTATTTAATACCGTAAGAATCCATTTAATTTTTCGGTGATTGTTTATTAACTCATTATATGAAATATAACGTGGACTTCAATAATGCAATAGGTGATGTTTTTTTATATCAGCTAATGGTGTCAAGTGTGCCTTCGTGATCGTCCAAATCAGTCGATTTCAACAAATCATTGGTGTTTACACCCTACAATCGCCTACAGACGCGGCAAAGGTACGTTGCTTTTCCAGAAGAAATGAACAGCCAAGAAATCAACAATGGCCGAAATGTTCTACTTTTTATCGTTATCAGGCGATATTTTAATAGCCTTATAACATTCTTATATATAAGATGGTTTGATCATCTAACATGTATCTATGCTAATTCAGTTGGTCGTGATAAAGTGCTTAGCTGCTGGTAATTTCTTACCGTAACCAGTCATAGTAGGGAAAACATTGCTGCAACTGAAAACCTTTCTCTTGAAAAACTATCTAGTCTTTCATTAAGAGAAAAAAATACACTCCACCGATTTGATTATATGATTTGTCGCCCCTCCTGTTCGTAGCCGGTCATTTATCAATGTAACAGGTTTTTTTCCGATTTAAAGACTATTGGCATTTTCATCATTTATGTTCGTCATTGTACAAAATCAATTCAAACCATCATTTCGTCTTGATTTTTTCAGAAACAATCTTGATGTGTAGTTTTTATATTTTGAAGTGTTTGTAAACACTATGTGGTTTTTGTGGATTTTCAGAACGCCTGGTTGGAAAAACTCGGTGAAGCGAGAGAAAAATTTACCAATAAAGACGATTCGAATCAAGAATTAAATACTGGAAATATGGACTCAAGGGAGAACAGAGATACCCGCATATCGGATCTTTCTTTCTCTTCACCGCGAAGGCAGCGTAAAAATGGGACTCTGAAATCTTCCCATACCAAATCTCTGTCTGTGGACTCTGTTTATATATAGGGGTCTCTGTAAGGCATTAGCAAATAACTCTTTTAATCCACAACTGACGATGTGTGACCAATACAGTGAAACATTGCTTATCAAAAAGCCGAGTACACGAATTATTCAAGTTAAAACTGTGTCGGATAATTGGAAGTATTTGAATTGTCACGGTCAAAAACATTTGAAAACACGGTCGTGTAATTTTGGACACAAATTAGTTTATTTTTACCAATGTTTTCTATTTCATTGAACATCAAGTGCCTGAGATTGACAATACCTTTTTTACATTTAAATCAACATAATGACTCATGTGCATGTATGCTTTGATTTTAACTGAAACATACGCAAACGTACTATATTTCCGCGGCACACTTATAATAACACTAAATAAAAATATATCGATAAATTTGGAAATCCGCTAGTCAATTATGTATTTGTTAAGACATTTTTCATTTTGTAAACTAGCTTGGCACTTCATATAGAAAAGGTTGCATGCTTGATATGAAGAAGTGATATCGGCCGAGATTGTCCTCTTTACGTAAAAAGGTTAGCTTATCGCCTACTTTAGAGGTACAAATTGTTGTGTTTGATCATCTGCTTTTTCAGTGTCAGTGACATGTGTGATCTAATCCGGTACCTTGATACAAAGTCATGATTTTTTACGGGTAGATAACTCATTTATGACCATCCCATGTGCAATTACAATCACCTTTAATTTGTACATATAGGATCTTTTGAAAGTGTCAATTCAAAACGAAGAAAATGTTTTAATATATGATAAATTTTGATCAAAGGCTAAATAGTTCAAAATGGCAATCGGAAAGTAAAGATATTAACAAGGGTTAAGTGATGATAATGATGTGTTTTAGTGTAGTTATAGAACTTATAGAAATTATATTGATCTTTCATATTTCACTTCTGAAATCTACATTTGATTTTTCGCTTCACTGTCAGTAGTAACATCACAAACTTAATAATATACGGTCATGAAGTATGGGGTTTGATAAAGTCCAGAATCCGAAAACTACACTATTTCGTTGATCTGGTGCTATATTCATAACCGGTTGAAGATTTTTACCAGTCATCATCAAATTCTTGTCATCGTCAATTCTAAGGATATACTTGAAATTGTTTTCATATAATATATATGTATGCTTCTCGTAGTCTGTGGTTGTATATATTCAATTTTTAGACCAACTGTAAAACAAAATAGCCAACAAGCAACCGTCGTTTTTTGATTTGATAGTTAAAGTTTGCTGTACTGAATAGCTTCAGAAAGTGTAAGTTGAAGTGTGGTCTCACTAGTGTACAGGCTTCTCCTTTGTCAATCATTGAATATAAAGGTAATAGAAAGCAGTTTTGGATTTTGAACTTTTTGAACATTTTTATATAATTCTCAAGAATCATTTTGTGAGTTTATATCTCTAGTGTTCTATTAATATATAACTCATTCATCTCTCAGTGCACGTAACGCCATAGATCAACTAAACGGAAAGAGGAGAGAAAAAAGTACACAAAATGGATAAAGATCTTCAGAAGGTGATAGTTTAGGTCTGTATGTGGTTTTGTTTTTGTACACGGTTGTGAAGCAACACTGTTACATGATAGCCACTCTTTACATAGAAAAATCATTTTAGACGGTAAACCATTGAAATATATCTATTTTGATATCACCTTTAATATCAAAACACCATTCTATCATTGTTAAACCAATCAAACACCTTGCATGTTAAAGTGATTGCTTGCTTGTTCTTCCATTCATTGCAATTTAAAATTCCAGTGGTCTTTTTGTACGTACCATTGTGTGTGTGTTTAATGGCCGAGTTTCAATTCCTGTGACTGCAATACTCCAATGTGCATGGTCGTGAGAGTGGTAATTACAAAGCGTAATCCTTTCGGAGTTGGATCATAGCTAAAGAGTGATAGTTTTAGGGCGCTCTATTTGGGGAAACGAGTGTTAGTAAGTCTGTTTGGTAGTTGGGAGTCCGTAAAAATGTAACTGCGTAGCAATCTGTACTGATTTACATACTATATGACTCATATTTTATTTTTCAATAGTGTTATAATTTGATAATGGAATATCTTTTGTCCGAACGAACAAATCGGAGTCCAATTTATTGAACGGCATATCAAAGTTGCATTTGGTAGCAAACTTTACAGAGTTCTGGGTAGTTTTGATAGAATTTTGAAGACAATGTATTCTCATTGTTTATGCGCTCTGAAAGCTTACATGTTACACTTACATGTATGAAATGTGTTTTTGTCAAACAAAATTTAGGTGGTATATAAATATACCCAGTTAGATAAAGGACAATGATGAAATTTCTTTCTTTTTAGAAAGACAACAGTGAAAAATTTATCTTTGAACGTCATTTTTTCGGTGTGCGTTATTTCAATAACAGGTCTGAAATTCTTTGTAATAAATAGCAGTTTTACAGTTCCGTTTAATTTCATGTCAGATAATAATATCTATTACAAGATACTTCCAGATGTATTCCATTTTATGTCACAATACTATGGACATTGGTATCATTGAGTAGGTTGATACCTCGACTTGTTTCTTGTTTCGGTCATCGATGTTATATGTCAAGTCGACGGAATTGTATTGCATTTATATTTGTCAGTCATGATGTTTTTATTGGTAATTACAATTAACATAGTACAGACAGATATATATAGTTGCGTTGTGATAATCATCCTTCACATCCACTCATGACTTGGCATATGAAAAATCGACAACAAAGTTTTACCCATAATTACTGTACTTACATTTTGTATACCAAAATTTTACTTACATTATGTATATCAAACTTTTACTTGCATTATGTATATCAAACTTTTAATAACACTATCTATACCAAAGTTTTACTTACATTGTGTAAACCAAAAGTTTACCTACATTATGTATATCAAACCTTTAATTACATTTTGTATACCAAAATTTTACTTACATTATGTATATCAAATTTTTAACTACATTATGCAAAAGACTCGTTTGGATGTAAATGGACCACGTCTTCACAAACACATCTCATTTACATGGTACACTGAAATAAGGTTGGACTACGTGCATTAATGTATTTGGTATCTGTTGACCACGACCATTGATGATGATTATCTGCATTACAAATATTATACGTGTCAAGATGTGGTCAAACATCTAGGTTAAGTCTGGTGTTACCACACTGTCATTATCACATTTCTACTTCAGATGAAAGAGAGCTGACTTTCAAGTATCACGAACAAGTTCTGAACACACTTTCTCTCCATACAAGGACGCACAATCATATATAGCCATTACTTTGCTGGTTTTGAAATATTCACTTTGTAGGTCAAGAATGAAGACAAATGATTGTCATTATATTGCTGAAATTGATCAGTACAAGGCTGAAGATACACACTTGGTCAGTGCAGGGTGAAAACACATACTGGATGTATTGTTGAAGACACATACTTTGTCATTACAAAGTTGTAGACACACTGTTGGTCAACACAAGTTTGAAGACACACAATTGTTCAGTACAAGGTTGAAGACACAATTGTTCAGTACAAGGTTGAAGACACATACTTATTCAGTACAAGATTGAAGACACATACTTGGTAAGTTCACGATTAAAGACACATGTTACGTCAGTACAAAACGATGAACACGATTTCATCAAAACAAGGTTGTGGTTTAAGCATTATGTTATAATTGGTGTGTATTTCAGCTCTAGTTTTGTAAATTATTCCTCCCTATGATACCATGTTGATGACCTGTAATTTAATGTCTTTGTATAATATGGTATTCCAAGTGTATTATGATGGTCTATACGATATCAGAATGGTGCAGGCCCACCCTAAACAATTAGAAACATCACCCTGCCTAATCGACTACATCGTGATAGGTAAAGGTGATTGATGTTCAAAAATAAAAAGAAAAAAAGGCTTTTTTCGTTTTCTTGTTTGTTAATCGACGTTTTGATGTTAAGTATTTGTTTGAAACTATGTATCATTACATATCTATTTTCATTAAAACGAAAGAACATAAACTGCTTTCCACCTAACTGTTTGGCAAGCGTGATTATTTCATTTCCGCTATTGTGTTTTTTTCCTCATTTCTTGATGGCAACAACATTACCTCTCAAAACGTACAGCGTTAACACGTCGAAGTTAATTTGGTATACAATGACTTGTTCTCAAGACTATTTTTCATGCCAGAGCCCACATATAGCAGATAAAATCACAACACAGGGTTTTCAGAGATGCGTGTTGATGAATATTATTAAGATTAGAATTGTCACAATATTATTGAGAATGTGCTTTTTTCTTTTGTGGTAAAAAATTTTGGTGCTCGTTACATACCAAATGTCCTGGGGTCGTGAAATTTACAATTTTGGTTAAGCATCTGGAGGTCTGCGATCCATAAAGATTGCCTGATCATACCATACCTGGTATTTGAGAAGAAGATTTTTGAAGTTTCAATCATTTTGACAATTGTTGTCCTCGCCCTTCAGACTCCTGGGGAAAGGGGACAGTTTTACACGACGCCGGGCAACATTGGATCGCAATAGATTACCCTGAGACTGACCTAAAAAAAAGACTAACCGCTTCGTGGACAGATTGAATATTTTTAATATAGACATTCATTATCACAGACAATTTGATACTTCGCTTCACTCTCCCGATTACAATAACACATTGTTTCGGGCACAACGACACATAAAGAGCTAGTAGGACCATGTTTGATATCATGTGATGAAAACTGTATCCATGCTGACGGATTTCTTTTTATGTTGACTGAGCATGCGTGCACGTCTGAGCCTGCGCGGTGATATGTCACCTGGTGTATGATTGGTAGCAGTGGTTGTAGCGTTGGACGACATTTGCTGACGATAATCAACGAGCCCATTTACGCCGCCATTGTCATGAGAGGAGGAATGATATTTCTTCTTTGCATCACACAGCTTCGTCATCCAGTATTCCTATTAAAGATACCGACATTTACCAAGAGTACAAATTACACACATAATGTTATTTTATATAGTAAACTAATCAGAAATTAAGGTGTGGGGGGAAATATTAAACACGCTTATATTGGATAATTCATGTGCATATTAAAAAGAGTATTAGTGAAACTTGTGAATGTTCTCTGAAAACGACTTTATTGAACTCAAACTTTTAAGAAAGTGCCATGATTCTCTAATTAATGGGGTTGCAGACCCTGATTTTTATTTACTTCACAGTCTCTAAATATGACGATGTTTCATGATCCTAGTTTTAATGCACGCAAAGTTAGGTTCACGACAAACTTTTAACAAAGCGCAATAACTCTGTACTGAAGGGTCCCGGCTTTGCTCCACTGTGCCTTGCTTTTGAATGACTTATGTATACATAATGTATATCATGTTTCAATATCCCATTGTTAATGAAGGAAACGTCAGACACCGGACACACAATTTTAACAAAGGACAATTACTCTAATTAAGTGGTTGCAGGCCCTAACATTGGTCAAATGCACAATGGCTTCGTATGATCAATACATTCATTAAGTCTCATGTACTCACCTTGGCATATTCGCTGGATGATTGTAGAGTGAATACTCCGATTATTTGCTGGAACCTGCTGATGTGGACTAAGACGATACAGTGTTTGAGACCGTTTGCTATTGATAAAAAGAAAACATATTTACAAGTAAAATATTTCATAACCAAAACAAATTTATATATAAACGAAAAACGTTCAGTGATCCGGAGAAAGTGTCATAACTAAGACGTCAACTGACTCAAATTTAAATAAATCGTACAAATACTCTGGAAAAATAAAAGTGGAGTATCTATACGCCAGGACCACTTCAAACATTTAATCGTGAGGAAACTGATATGTAATACTTGTATATGAACTGCTAGGCACATCAAATGCACTACTTAAAACGCTGAACAATATGTACATGAACCAATATCTACATATTTTGTAGTGGATAATACTGAAAATATAATTTCTCTTAAACATCTATTAACGTCGGCACAATTGAGACACGTTACCAATTTGTTATAAATGTCGTCTCACAAGGCATATGATTCTGGTAGTTGATTCTGGTATTATTCAAGGAATTGACACGTTATATAACTTATTTTGACGTCATTATAAGATGTTTGTATGACGTTACAATTCTAATGATTCCAGAGGGACATTCTATGTACAATGGGAGCTGTTTATAGTATGTTTATCCACTTTAACTATAGTTTGTCATACGAGTAAGACTCCAACCATATGTACGCTCTACGATATCTGAAGTCATAAATGTATGCGTACCTGATGCCTCCGACATGCCCACGTCATGCACACTTAAACGGTCTAATGCTATCGGCTGGCGGTGCACTGTATACAGGTTACAATCATTTGCGTTAAACGTCTCCAATGCATTCTGTTTCTGAAAATTGATCACCAACTTCTTCACTGCTATCCAGTGCTTTTGCTATACCACATTTCATATCTCTTAATATATCTTATTATCTCATAAAGTTACTAACATAACTAAAACTGACGAATGACTTTATATTATGTTTAATTAACTGATATACCATCTTTATATATCTTATTATCGCATAAGGTTACTAACATAACTAAAACTGACGAATGACTGTATATTATGTTTAATTAACTGATATACCATCTTCATATATCTTATTATCTCATAAGGTTACTAACATAACTAAAATTGACGAATGGCTATATATTATGTTTAATTAACTTATATACCATATATTTTCGTGGGGCTCCCTTTTTGTGGTTTTTCTAGAAATGTACATTTTCGGTCGCACTTCATTTCGCGGAAAAATTGCTAACGAAATGAATGATCTAATTCTTGTCAACTTTTCTCTGTTTACCATTACTTGAACATATATATTTAGATAAACCAAGAATTCCACGAAAGTAAATCCCCCTCTCATAGATATTTAAGATTTTTACAGTATCATTTGACCTAAATTTATCATGAAAGTTACTTTAGGTTGTATGTCTTTTGTACAATTATCATTGGATACTTCATGCCAGTGTTAATTCTGTGACACATATCAGGAGTGACACTCTCAGATAAGATAGAATAGTCAATCAATTTGACTTCTTTTGGTTGGTAAGATTTACCTAGAGGGAGGGAGTGGATATTATCAACATCTTAAATATCTGTACAAAATACTGTACTTTAAGTTCGAAAGTTTCGTAACGTTATGATAAACCCATAATGTTGAAACTTTTGTTTACAAGCACATATTTAGATAACCCACAGAAATAAAAACTCTTTCGGTACTTTTTCTCCAAATTCTCCACTAAATTGTTCTTCATGTACAGTTACCGGTGATCTGTTCATTATTTGAATGACTATTTTTCTACTACTGTTTCTAAAATATTCAAAATATCAAGAATTTCCATCCATTCTGAATTTTCCAAATTTCATAACGAATTTCGTTCGTGACTACAACAGAGAATACAAGTAAAATGAAACATGCTGCCTTTAGTTTAGTTAAGTCTTCCTCCTGTTTATTCCATTAGGTCTTCTGTCAAACAATAGAGACAAAGAACAAGCTAACATTTTTGTTGCGATCTCACATTAGAATATTTTCGCGAAAATTGTAAGCAAAGTATATAATTAATTCGACCTGGTTTGCAAACAATGAATTACATGTTGACAGAAGACATTAAGGTTATAATGATTACCTTCTTCACGGATTTCTTTATTTTTGTTATCAACAATATGTCATCAAACAGGAATAAGTGTACATCGACGGATTTCGTTGCTTCTGGAAACATAAAAACCATTTCAAAACAAATATTCTGACCGTAAAATTAAGAATAAAACTGATAGGGATATTGAAAACGGAGAATAATTTGATTTTAATAAGATCTGAATGGAATCAAAGTATATCATATTTGTATGAAGGAGAATACATTTTTCTGATCTTTAAATTCCTCCTGTTTTTTATCATACTGATAATTAGCGATAGGATCGCACTTAATTATCTGATCGTTATCATTTGGCTACCGGATATACTGTATATAGATAACAAGGGACATTACTCCTGTTGACAAGAAATCCGCTTACTTCCTGATTCTGCCTGAATTATCTTTCTTGTCATATAGTGTTGAGTGACATACCTACTAATGTCAGTAGACCTTCATGCATGAGTTGTCTCTTGGGACATGACAAAAGTTTCGTACATGGTTGAATAGAGAGACTTGACTTTAGAAACTGTAAATATAAAAGATATGAACAGATGTCAATCATATATATCTAATATCCCATGTACTGTCGGATTTACTTTCTGAAATATAATACGAGTGTTAAAAATATTGGGCAAATAATGTTTCCTTTTGCTTGTGGGACAATTTTTTTTAAAATGCAAAAGATTAAGTTAAATTTTATAGAGAGGGCTTTTACAGGCTATGTCTATTGTCCCATTCTTTTTGTCACCAAGATCTTGACAACAACATATTCCCAATGAATTCAAATTTGATAAAAAGGTGAAATTCCCTTCGGGCTAATTGCGTGCACGTGCGTTAAATCGATGGAAGTGATTCATGATGAAATTATTTCACTTAATACATATGTATAATAATATCAAGTAGTACAATACTATTAGCTTCCCAAAACAGTTCGTGTGGTTCGTGGGACAACAGTTTCAGTCCTTGCCCAGACAGGAAGGGGAATATCGGTAATTATATGGTTATATGGTAATCCGGATGACTCTTTAATGTTGTCCATATGTTTTTGTCATGGAACACCACACAGTGTAAAGGTTTATAAACGATGTACACCATTCCTGATGGCAACGGACTAACAGAATTGAAACAATATCTACAGACAACATATCTAAACAAATGTATGAAAACTGCAACTAGTTTGACATCTTTACAAAAAGAAACTCTGCAGTTCTATTGCCGTTAATTGTTTTTCATATTATTTCGACTATGAACGCTTGTAATAAACTGATATTTCGATCGATACAATCGCTGAAGAACCATGACTTATCTGAAAGAAGAGGTCTAAATCCGGAAAATCTTCAGTGTTGTTTCTGTTAATTTTTCGTTCATCTGGAGACGCTAGTAATATTCAGACTGACTCTTCCACTATGATTAGCTTGCAAGGTGGCGTGCGTGGCTTATAATACTAAATGCTACGCCTCAAGCGGCATGCGTTCTGGATAGTTAAAAGGGACAACAAAAATAGATGGCAGATACTATGCAAGCAGAAAAACCATAATTGCGTGCAAACAAAACCCCAAATTCGCCTGACCAATGTATGCTCCACGCTATCTCCAACCCTAGACCTGAATACTAATCCAAAACTTACTCCATCCACTTACCGACATTGTTTCAAAAATATCTTTCCATCGTACATGTATTCCAAACGTCACTAAACAGTCAAAAACATATATACTAGAAAGTATCTGGTAACAGCCTTTTTCCAACGAAAAGACCAAACATTGACAAGAAACTATCGCCCAATTATTTGGACGCTAGTAGAAACTTTTGTAAAGGACGTAATAGATGAACAAAAACAAAGTGTTTGTCGTTTTCTCAATCATCAATACGTATCTTCATAATCAATCAATTAGATTAAATATATTGTGTAGGAGGGATTAGTGATTTGTATCATGGTACTGTCTATTATACGTACGTCAGGAATGTAAACCTTGGGATCCAGGTCAGATATAGACGGCCAAACAAGTTGCTTTTGAATTTCCTGTAGACGCCGAGTATTTCGTTCCATTCTCATTTTCTCTTCCAGATTTTCTATAATCAATTATACCAAAATATGACAGAAATGCAGTGAACAAGTTTTGCTTTGTGCATACACATATGTGGTATTTCGGAATGATGCGTACTAATGTCTTTAATAATGAGAGATTTATGTAAAGATTGACGGAGATATTTATGTTAAGGTTGTCCATGAAAAATCTTATCTGGCCTTCGGGCCAGGTGAGCTAAAAATTAAAAAAGAAACGTGCGAATATCGGGATTACTGAACGTCAAAATATTGGTTTTCAGTTTATTTCGACCAAAATAAGTGGCCCGCAGTCCCGATGGATTTTTTATAATTAATTTAACATCACTAACGAGTCAGTCATGCTTTAATGTATTGCAATTTGTACTGAAAGGTGTTATCCAATTTTGCGACGTGCAATCCATCAACCTGCAATTTATCAAAATACAACTAAACATCAAGCTTTAGTGCAATATATCTATTAATCACTATGTAAATGTTGGCCAACGTAAACACTAATTGTCCATCAATTTCAAGGCAAGTAGTTTGACTACACGAAGGGTCAGTTGCACTGTTTCAATAACGTCATAAATTTGCTGCACGTTGGAGCCAACAACTGATTAAAACATAAAGAGAAATTTAAAGTATCTGATTTAGGAGTGTATATTCTGAACCGAAGCCATCTATCATTAATTCTGTATTTATGGAACAGGTAAGTTCAAAAACATAGGTTAATTCTACTACTTAAAGGATTGCCGCAAATGACCAAGCGCCTAATTGCCATCTTTCAAAATGGGGATTGTAATGAGGATAAAACGTAAATTCAAACAATTTATTTTATGTACACTGTGTAAGGAAACATAAATAACATCATATTGATATCAATTATCTATTTACATCGAGCCAGCAAGCCTATCAGCATTGTCTTGAAGTATAAAATCATTATTATATGAAACCTACGTCAAAGCAGAGAGAATATGGAATTTTGATGACATCGTAATGAAGCCTATTCCATAGACTGAAAGCATATAAGGTCCTTTAGGCGAAACAATGCTAATTTTCAGTAACAGCAATAAGTAGTGTGACGAACATTCGTACATAATAGATCGGTATCCGACTACTTTAAAAGGACATGTGATTAACGTACGTAATGAGACCTCGAGTTTGCCGATTGCTGCTGCTAATAAACCTCTGTCTGCCTCGATCAAGGTGTACTTCCTTATATTGGCCAGCAGGAGTGGTAGTTTGGTGCAGTGTTGCATCGGGGAAACCAACAAGTCATTCAGTTGAAGACGGTTACACCGGGGGTCCTGTTCGCACCACTGAATCAAAGAAGTCGTGAGGCTATTCAGATACACATACTAAGCAACCTATCAAAAATAGGACGTCCAGTCAGGAAAACGAATGCTGATTGTAACATGGATCCATTAGATTTAAGTAAAGTAATAGAATCTACACGCATTGAATAGACGCTTATAACTGGCATCTATAGCACGTCAACCAAAAAACATAAAGACACGCAATCAAAACGCATTTATTACACACATCTCAAATTTTTCAACGTAGATATCAATCACTTCTATATTTTATCATAGCGTCACATGTATAACAGGTCACGAAAACATGGATGAATGGATTGCCATTAACCCGATTTTATTAACCAAAACCAGAAATTCGTATGAAACAGGTATCACACATGGATTTCACCGAACACGCATTCGTTGAACGTCACCTATACACATCAACCGAACTTAAGTAACACACTCTCGTTATCTGTCGTAAATAACACCTGTGAATTTAATTGTGGATTAACTCGAAAACGGGAACATAAAATACTAGAATACACAAAGAGTTTAACTTACATGTTAGGCTTCAATAACACATATTTCCTTAACTTTACTTCTAGAAACATATTGAGCAACAACAGTAATTTACTCGTTAATTAATTCAAAGTATACTATTTAGTTAAAATTCAGTATCACGGTTCCATTTAAGTATCATGCAGTATTTTGATATCAGGAACATCAGTGAACTGGACTTTAGGAGTCTCATTGATACCGTACGCTACCTTTTCAAATTCGCAGTAGTCGTCATTCTTTTTCAGTTTCTCCAAATAATTAAGTCCTCTGGTGTAGTTGAGGCAGTATGTGTGGTATACTTCTCCTTCCTCCGACAGATTGGCAAACTTCAATGTTAAACAAGTATTTTTCTCAAATAAGAGGAGTCATGTTTAATCATACATTTGCACGGAACCAAATTCTTGTCTCGCTTTAAAAATATCACTACGGTGACAATTTATTTCGTTGATGAGTAGTACCTATGAAAATACAGTGCTGAAATTCAGGTCAATAACAACAACAAAAAATATAGACATATCAATTAAATCTTAATCGAAACTCAACTTCGATTAATCTTCAACAAAATATGAACAGCAGTAAAATCTATTTGGAAATAGATGTTTACCCATTCGTTGACAAACGAATTCTTCGTGTTTAAATTCCCGAATTGAGAAATGAAAGTACAAACATATATCACAGTTGTAAAAGGATACACTGCTAAATGCTTCATCTGCGAACTCATAACGTCAGATGTATTTTAAATCTACTGATAGAGAGGCAAAAAGTGGGCATATTCTCATGTAACGCATTCAAGCCTTTTAAATCAGTCTTAAAACACATGGTTTGAAAAGATGCAGTTTGACGAAAACAAAGGTTTTTAATCGACATTATAATTTCATTAAGTCCATTTTTTCTCCTATATCAGGTATTCGATGGTTTTGATGTTGCAAACTTGGTTCTTGTCGGAGATCATACCACGCATTACGATGATTGATCTAGATACATTTCATTTGTGCAAGAAAGGGATACTATCGTCATTAAGTCTTCCAGTACTCGGTAATGGCCATGCATGGCCTATTTGTAAAATTACCCTTCCTAAGGCCTATGATTATGTGTGCTCCTAAATCTCTGTGTTCGACAAGTCAATAAATCCATAAACTTGTACTTCCTAAGACCTCCCGTAGTTGTTTAGTATTTTATATCTCCGAGTTCAACTTGTATATAAATATTTCCACACTTACCCTCTCTAAAACCTCCTCTAATCGTTTGGTCTCCCATATCTCTGTATTGGACATGTTCTTGGTCAGTACAGATAACAGATCTTTACAGAAGGTGTAGCTTACCTAAAGGTAACACAAATATTTCATCATATAAGATTACCATGTCACCAATTCTTAAGCCATCATTTCTTAGTTATATATCTTTTCTCTTTTACTATTTCTAATTATCTTACATGTATTTTTGATAGCAATAGTGTTTAACTACACACATGAATGTATAGCACAAGCAGGTAAGAGTTTGATCGAAGTGTTTCGATCTGTAGCTCTTGGTGATGTGAATGCTATGTTCACCCACTGCAATGGTTTGGGTTACAATCAGTGTATATATAAAACAGATGACTTACATAGCACAAATCATCTAAGTTACAGAAAATCTCCGGAGGTTCTATGTACATCAGAAATCCTTCCACCTGTACTTTCTTCAACGGCTCCAAGAAACACTGTAATGTATTTGAAGACAATGCTTTAAATGCAATAACAGAAATTTGCAAAACGTCAGTCTGACTTTATTTCAATCCTTACTTACAGCATTACCACATTGCGACGTCCATTATTAGTCAGGTCATGAGCAGGCGTTTGTGTAAACTTTGCCATTATCAATAGTAGGTATCCAACAGGACATACAGAGGAAGGTGATTGAGTTAATCATGTTACCCTTGTTAGCGTTTAGTTCCAGCAGTGATAATTGCCATTGCTTGAACTTTAAGATCATACAACCAAATTAATTTAAAACATCCATATTCCACTTCCTCTAGACGCTCAAGAAATATTTCAAAACGAAAAAGTATGAGTGTCTATTTTAAACCATCGATATAACAACTAAAAAAGCTATAATGACACCGATACCAAAACTATTACAAGAAATCCCAGAGGGATTTTGACGTCCAGTTTTGTTTTGCCTTAATTTCAAAAGCTGGAAGCGAGTTAGGGGAAAAGATTATAAATAAGATAAGTTGTGCGAGCACTATGGCAACAGTTGCAACAAAATTCTTAAGTGGGACATTAAAAATGTACCGTGTAAGGCATGTGCTAATTGCATGCACACTTTGTGAAACACATATGTCTTCATTGCGCTAATGATATGTCAGGGTTAGTTAAATTGTTTTTTTTTTTCAAATGTAGGTCAAAGGTGACGGTCACGGTCACATGGCAACAAAATTTGACAAACAGCAAACAGGAAATTAAAAATAGTAAAGCAAATGAGGAAAAAAATGAACATGCATCGTGGCTGAATGCGTTGTACTTGCATACAAAGCTCAAAGAAACAGAGAAAAGAAAAAAAGAAATAATAAAAAACGACCCAGTGTAAAGTATTGTAAATGTCAAAATATTATGGGCAGCGTAACATTGAATAAGACAAATACAAAACAAAAATACAAAAATAAAAACCAAAAGAAAACAAACAAAATAACAAAACTAAATAAGAACAAAATTATGAAGAGATGTATAATTGAAGAAATAAACGTACTAGATCTGAGTTGTTATTTTAACGTAAAGAACCTCTCATACCGTGCTGACATGACACTTGATACATCAGCAGGGAAGATAATAACACGACTACTACCGGGTAACGATTCCTCTTTATACTAATCTATAGGGGAGTGTAGCGAGGAGTACGACGAACAGTATCGATTTAAGTCGTCAAGGAAGAGACGAGATGACACGTACGTGCTTTAACGCCATCAGATGATCGATCAGAAAGACACACTCGCTGGTAAACAGTTCCCATACCGCCTCACGCCGTTTTCGTTCACTCTCGGGAATTTTTATGGGTTGTCTTTCCTTGTCTGAACTGACGATTAGGTCCGACCAGTGGCAGTTCTGTTCAATATTAATTGTATTTATATTACAGAGGATTGTACAAAAGACACATAAGTGAATAGCACTCTTGTTCTATACAAAATTGAATAAGATGCAGGAGAGCCAAACAATAATTGAAACTGTTTCATACAGTTGTTTCGTTCATCTAGGACTCGTCAGTAATGCTAAAACCCTAATTGTTAAAATCCAAAGTGATCTCTTAAAATGAATTTCGAAATTTTCAAATATCTGATAATCTTAGAAGAACGTCAAGTACTTGTATTCATAAACAAACAATTGCTAATAGCGATTTCACATGAACGACGTTTTACTAACACAATATACCTTTAAAAGTAAAAGACGTATTACCTTTGATTAATACAGAAATCACATTGATTTTGTTCATACTTTCACTCCGTGTTAAGTATTTCATTTTGATCCTCGCTTCATAGAACGTGAGCTTAAGTTGTGTTGACATACCAGTAATTTCGTTATTGTTTCTGAACTCGGAGCTAGTTTTGACTATTGGAATAATTATGACTAATCCTGGCTATTATGATAATGTAACCAATACATTCACTGTATCCAGGCGGACAAATCACCTATATGGTACTTCATATATGATAAGAGTTGATCACTGCCATGGGATCCACAGGACAACAAAATAGGACTTATCCCAATGATAAACTTAATCCGGCAGGCTCTGAATATATGATGTATCCTTACAGTTAGAGTAATCGAGTAGACAATCTAACTAATTTAATTCCTTAATAAAATTTTATAGAATCGATGGTCTGACTATATCCTTTAACATGGTCAAGAGCTTTGATATATAATTAATCTGACTGTGCCTCCTTTAACAAAGTTTAGAGGTTATATGATAAACAGCCAATACACTTTTGCTACGACTCACTAAGAAGATAATCGAGTCGGATAAATATGTAAGATGGGATAAGTAGGTGATAATATTTTTGAGGACAGAAGATACACTTGACTGTACCCCTTTATAAAACTTCGAGGATAGATAATATATCTGGCCGTATGCTCTAATAAGATTAAGATGAAATATCTAATTATATCCCTTAAATAAGACTTAGAGGTAAAATAAGAAATCTGATTGAAAGATTTAGAGAAAAGATGATCGTACTGACAGTGAGCCTTTAATCAGATTTGACTGTATTACTTAAATAATATATATATAAGATAGATTATGAAAGTATGCCTTTTATATGATTAAGGTGATAGATGATATATATAACTGCATACCTTTAATGAGATTTAAAGGAAAGATTCTAAATCTGACTGTATCCCTTTAATACGATTCAGGATATAAACATTAGCACTATGAACCGATATTATGTAACAGAATTCACGTTAGATGAAGGACGGAAAGTACCGCATATGTACTGAGTGGTTTACCAGATGTAGAGTTTGATACTGCTGACAGATGGGGTACATTTGGAGTTGTATCAAAACATCAAAGTATGTGATTGATTACAAGCTATCCAATACATCTCAATGTCAAACAGTTAAAGTCAGTGATCAAACAAGAAGGAACATGGAAGCAATTTGTTTTCCAATTTTGTGCTGATTTAAATTCTTTAAAAAGAATCAACTCAAAAGTTTCGCATCATTAATCTGCTGAATATAAACGATCTGATGGAAGCCATTTTCTCAGTTGTGTGATGTGAAAGAGTATCTTTCGTGTGATGACATCAATCAACCGTGCAAGTCAGTGGAGACTGAAGGAAATCTATTTGTTGGTGAAGAAATACCGCCATTACTCTACAGAGTACGTCATTAACACTGTCTTGCTCAAGTAATTATTTAAATATATAGTACTCTTTTGATTAGCAATGCAATATGAGAAATACATGTGCAGTATTTCTCAGAATAAACCAGATTAAACGCTACTGTACTGAAGCACATTATCCTCCATGGCTAAACACTTGTTCATGATTTCCCTAATTGTAATGCCAACCGTATTCAATACTTGTTCACTCTGACTCATATATACAACTAACAATAGACACTATTCAGATATACCCTTGGTTACAATGTTTACTCATTAATAACCAAGAAAAATAAAAAACATATATAAAAAGATTACATATTGAATGAACAATTTTAAATTCTTATAATTGTGGATAATATGTTGAGTGCTAGTCTTTTTCTACGTCTTAAAATAAGGGCCTCACAACATATTTTACAAACATGGAATAGTGATATCCAAATTTCATTACATACAGGTATATCCAGGTATAGATATGTTGAAAGCGTGGCTGAAAGTAAAAAGATGAATGCCGGTTTGTTTCAGAGACCAGTTCTGAAAGCGAAGTAATGGCAACTAAACTAAGGTCTATATGAGCCTTGTTTATCGAAGACCTACGAAAATAAGTCATAAATTCTTCAAAAAACATTTATGTGACCACAAATATATACATGTTGATTGTAAATGTTCATAAATGTTCTTTATACATGTTAATGGTGTGTTCCTTTTAGACTATTTCAATCGTACATACCAGAACTGAAAATCAAGGACACGATAGAATCGGTTTCATAAATCACTTACGTCGACAGTTTTCTACCGAGCTGTGTGATAAGACTGATAAATCGATTTGTCTCTAATTGTTTTTTTCATTTCTATGTAGTTAAATACTGCTTCCCCAACGTAATGTATTGACAAGTCTCAGTTATTAGCCAGAAATTATAGCCTTCTCATAGATAAACTCAGGGTTTCAGAGAAGTCAATATTTATAGGGAAATGGTCGTCAACATGTTATCGTTTTAAAATCTCATATTTCCTTGTGTGACATGCAATTCGTTGTTTTATGTGCTTGATACTTGTTGGTATTCCTGGTTGTTGTCGCCCTTGTTCTCTTTTCGGAGCGTATTGTTAGATTGACCATGATTTACATAACGGGTTTTGTCGTTAAAACAGAAGATGCTTAACCTTCTTAAATCTAAGTCTCATTTTACTTGCAATTTTATAAAGGTGTGAAACATTTACGAGTACCTTATAAGCGGCTAGATCGCTATCCTGGAACTGAGAAGGTGACAGTTTTGTCAGAACATCGCTTAGTTTTGACAGCTCTTCTTTACTCCTGGTTTTTATCTGCAAGAAAACAGATACTTCGTTAATAAGTACAATAGATGCAATATTTGATTCTTTTGGTTTTCAAACTTTTGAGGGAAAACAGCCTTTTGACACCTTTTGGACTTTTGTGTCTAAGAAAATGTTAAGACTTCGGTGTTCAAAAAACATCTGTGCGTCACTTTATATTACTATTTCATCGTAATTTATGTCCGTTTCTATGAATATCATTGTCTTTTAAATTCATATCCAGATTGTCCGCATCGATCTGTACTTCTTATTACTGTGTATATTAACGTTGAAATGCAATATGAACAATAAAGCATACATACCAGCCTTCTGAAAGAGAAAGTCGTCGGACGTCCTTTTTTGTTGTCTGGAATTATAAAATTCGCATTCTGAAATGAGTAAATCTACAAACATAATCATTATATACATTGTCTTGTAGTATAACCATGATTGTTTAAAGTCATTTTGGAAATTATTATCTTAGGTTGCGAAAGTTTTGATTCCGCACTCGATTTAATTAACAAATATGAAATGACCAACGTTACGGAAGATTCACGAAAATAAAGGCTATCTTCAACAAAGCAGTTGCAAGAAACGACATGAAAAGTCGTCATAGAAATGATGACGTCCTAAGGTTATAGCATTAAAAGCATCATGTTAACGACACCATGAAAAAGCATCTTAATCAATACCACAAAAGCATACGTCGCGAGACCGGATAGTAGTTAGGATAATCACATCTGTTACGTAATGATACCTTACAACATTATCAAATTAATGTAACCAGAACGTCATGAGAGAGGATATTAATAAACATCATAAACAACATCGCCATGAGAGAGGATATTTATAAACATCATCAAACATCATCGCCATGAGAGAGAATATTTATAAACATTATCAAAAAAAAACGTCATGAGAGAGGATATTAATAAACATTATCAAACAACAGCGTCATGAGAGAGAATATTTATCAACATCATCAAACAACAACGTGATGAGAGAGGATATTAATCAACATCATCAAACAACAACGTGATGAGAGAGGATATTAATTAACATCATCAAACAACAACGTCATGAGAGAGGATATTTATAAACATCATCAAACAACAACGTCATGAGAGAGGATATTAATTAACATCATCAAACAACAACGTCATGAGAGAGGATATTTATCAACATCATCAAACAACAACGTCATGAGAGAGGATATTAATAAACATTATCAAACAACAGCGTCATGAGAGAGAATATTTATAAACATCATCAAACAACAACGTGATGAGAGAGGATATTAATCAACATCATCAAACAACAACGTGATGAGAGAGGATATTAATTAACATCATCAAACAACAACGTCATTAGAGAGGATATTTATCAACATCATCAAACAACAACGTCATGAGAGAGGATATTAATTAACATCATCAAACAACAACGTCATATGAGAGGATATTTATCAACATCATCAAACAACAACGTTATGAGAGAGGATTTTAATCATCATAATCAAACAACAAGGTCATGAGAGGGGATATGTATTAACATCATCAAACAACAACGTTATGAGAGAGGATTTTAATCATCATAATCAAACAACAAGGTCATGAGAGGGGATATGTATTAACATCATCAAACAACAACGTTATGAGAGAGGATTTTAATCAACATCATCAAACAACAACATTATGAGAGAGGATTTTAATCAACACTATCATCATGAAACAAATTATCGTGAAGTTACGTTTCATTGATGTGAAAAATGTCGTGCAAAGTGGCAGATAACAGAACAATTGTGACAAACCGATTACTGGAAATACACGTCCCGATGGATTAATAAAAAGAGGGTCAGGTTATCTGTTCTAGTACAATAGTACACACGCCCTACTGTGCCACAACTGTACCACTGCAAAGTCAGTATCTACTATCATGGTGGAAGACACCATGTTTTCGTGGGTCAAATTTCGGTAGAGTAGAAACCAGCATTGAAATTTCTTCTTTTATTTTTTGCGAACGAAAATTTCCAAAATTTCAAGATAAACAAATTAACAAAGATAAATCTTTAACAGAGTTAAAAACAAAGTCGCTTCACACCAGAACGCTTTGGTACCTAGAACATATAAAATATAGGTTTGAAGAACATTTCAATATAATGGCCCCGTTGATACGGAAATATCGAATGTAGATTGTAGATGAACAGTTTACTCGTGGGATGCTTAGCTGACTTTTTTGTAATTAAGCCAGAAGAGGCTCTGCTGACAGGCGTCTTTGTAGTCTTGACTATGTTTACGACGACTTAACAATACGTTCTAATGGAGTAGCTTGTCATAACGACGGGTTTACGGCTACTCTAGCACCAGCTAGTGTCAAATATTGATCGCTTCTATTTTCACCTCAAACAATAAGTCGTTTCCATGAGCAAAACAGCATCATTACCGATATACCGAGGAAAACTTTTAACACTCGAGTAAGCGAAAAAGTAATAAATGTCGTATCACGATTCAGATAATGCTTTATAGTTTACACTGTATATCTTGTCTTTAGATTATAAGTAATATTGTCTTTGTATCGATTGTTATCACTAATACATGTACGGTTAAGTTTGGAAAATATATTGATATGGAACCAGCATATTAGCATCAACACTGATTAAGCCAATCCCAGAATGTACACAGAATGGCATATGCTACTCGTGATTGCTGTTATTGCTGTGATGTATAACGTATGGTATGTATGTGTGTGTGTGTGTGTGTGTGTGTGTGTGTGTGTGTGTGTGTGTGTGTGTGTGTGTGTGTGTGTGTGTGTGTGTGTGTGTGTGTGTGAGGGTGTGTGTGTGTGTTTGTGTGCGTGTATGTGTGTGTTCAGTTTGTACTTATCGCGGAGATGCACTCACTAACCGTGACTCATCTCATTTTTATGACGTAAGGAGTATGAAATATTTATATTTCTACCGAAAGCGTGCTGCCAGCCGCATCGAAATTAAAACGCGAAATAAGACGTAAATGATTGTTTTCTTTATATAGATGAAAATAATTTGATTTCCTACATGGAATGTATAGCTTTTAAGATATCAAACACATTTATCAATTGTTAGGATTTGTAATGAATTACAATAGTTCCATATGTTTCTAAATTTGTCAAATTGGTTAAATCAATAAGCGGCATTTCACTAAATATCATAAACTGATGTCAGACATTGGCAGTGACAATTGTGATAAAAACAGGCCATAGAAACTCGTGCTTGTTGTATAAGTTCTACTTTTTCTCACGCCGTTTTTCATTTTTACAGGTTACCAAAAACCCCCGCTTATAAAAGACTGTTTTTGATATCTAAAAAAATTACCCAATTTGAGTGACCGAAATATGATATCTAATAACCACTGATTTTGTAACAGCTATTAATCCTCATTGTTTCCAATAACGTGATGTACATAGGTTTGTGAAGATTATTGGTAAGTTTTATGGTTGTCAAAATGATATCCACCTAATCTATTCGCTGTGCTGTAGGTTAATGTGCTTGTTATCTACCTCGGTTACGTCAGGGAACGTGGAAATACTTATTAGGTAGACATGTCGGTATTTTCATTATTGTTTTCGGATTGACCAAGTTTTTTCGTAAATGGAAAAAAAAAACCGTTTACCCTTCCAGAACACCTGGTCTTATTACCCATATACTTTTTCATGTGTTTGCATTTTTTGTTCATATTTTTCCTTGTTTCATCGAATTAAGATTTGAATTGTGATGCTGTAGACATGTCTGTATTTTTCTCCTTTTGATCATGGCTTCGTCCTTCTATATTATATTGAAGATAATAACTTTGTTCACGCTATATAACTGATCGGATACTCTTTAGGATAGTTATGTTAACTTGCCCTGTTGGTATAATTTGACGCTGTAACTCTGTATCATCTAGTATTTTAGTATCTGTCCTGGTTGTTCGGCGTCAGCTGTGTTACGTGTTTATTCGTTGATTTTCAACAGAGGTCTGATGTATTCTTAAATCTGTTTCTAGCCTTGCCTGAAAGACCTAGTTTTCCATCCCAACGATTAGGTATTTTTCACTTGTTTACGTGTACTTTTGCTCAGGTGAAGTAACTGTCATCCAACGTATGACATTTTATTTTTCCCAGTTGTGCCCTATCAAGTTGCAACTGTTTACGTGTGTCTGCGCATGCCTAAACATACAGTATTAGGTATGTTATATGTTACCTTAGTTTTCCCCTTGGTACATTACTGTGGTTTGGTAATTCAGTCGTCTCGGTGGTACAGTATACGATGTGTTTGAAAGTCGTTTGTGAAATTTATTTTGTATCGATCAATCGTTGCCATGGTAATCATAACTTACACTGTAATAAAGTCTATCATATTTTGAGAAATGGTTTAAAGCTGTCCTGCTCAGGTTGTACTTGGGCATTTTATTAAAAGTAAAAGATGGTTTCCAAGGCGATATTGTAACAAGAAAGAAAATCACACTTTTCTGTCTGCTCTTATTTAACAGCAACATTTACTGCTTATAAATTATTAACGGTATATCGCTCAAGCTGAATATCAGATATTGACGTGGGCTCGCCCGGATGGTACTGTAAAGTGGCCATTTCGACTTGTATAGCTCAACACCTGCTAAGGTTTATGGTATAGAATGCCGTAATGGAAGTCTTCAGATAAAATTTAGACAACGGATAAAAACAACCTTCATTTCATATCATCCTGTATATTATGCACAAAACTGCCTTTACACTTATAACTGTTTTCTCAAGTTGGTGAAAATTTCTAGCACACTGAATTTGTCATAGTCCGGTGGTATCTTGCACCACTGTATACTTGTGACATTTAAAACTGTGTATTGGAGATAGGTATATGTTTAAGTAGTCGACGCGATGTTTCTGTCTGGAAATTTGATAGAATCTGTACCTCTAACGATTTCTCAGTTCTTCCGATTTCTCGGGTCTTAGCAATCACAATCTCTCATGTTTGTGTAAATTATAAGACAATTCCCGCATGTTCTAGACAACGCCTTATTATTACATAAACACACAAAACTTCCGAATGTCCTACAGAGTCAGTATACAGGAGACATCGTAATTTTCTAAGTCAACGCCTCTGAGCCTGGAATCCATCGATCTCCGTCTAACACCTCTGTACTAATTGCTATTAATCTTAATCCAGTTCGCATCCAGAATACAAGAAAAATGTCCCAGCAATTTATCTCTAACATCTTGTCGGATGATCAATCGTGATACGTGAAACACATCAACGAGGAACGTAACCTGAAATACATTGACGTCTTGATAAATCAAATCCTGGAAAGGTTCACGTACTTCAATAGTATAGGGTTCTCAAATGTTACTGATCTTAACTCA